AATTCAATCAATTTCACATCCATCCAAGCCTTTAAAGAGCTCTACATTTGGTATAAAAGAGGACATTTTGTTGTGATAGCGGTGCCAGAGGAAAGATAAAATCATCAGTCATCATCCTTCAAGATAGTAAAATATGAAAGTTCTTACAATCTCTCCAGGAGAAGTTGAGCTATCTGTCTCTGTGACAAAGTGTTGGACTGACAGGAGAGGAAAAGCTCCGTCCTGAGACGATAATGATATAAAAACATCCTAAAACCTGCTTCTTGTTACTTGAACTCCTCACCTCGGCACTTTTAAACTTTGAGGTTGTGACCCCGCCACAGTCTGAGTGTTTGAAGGCGGTGGTTAAGTGAAAGCAGCCGCGTGAAGAACGTCACCCGAGCGAGGAAATAAAACATCAGGGGTAGAAAAACGATGTCACCTCTTGCTCATTGTTTCTCTACCGCTGAAGGGAACGAGCTGCAGTAAATCAGACTTTCTATGTATGGTCATGCAATGAATCATGGGAAAGAGTTTCTTCTTCTCCTCATCGGGAGGTTTAGTTCCACTTTGGTGCTCTGTCACTCTTTTTATTCCTCAAAACCATTAGAGTCTTCACAGCTGGAGTTTAATGTTCCCACATTTAAACCCTCTTTAGATTTAGGGATTAAGCTTTCTACATTTTTACTAAAATAAAAAAGGATGACTGTACCAATCTGTGATGTTCTACTTGAAAAGCTTTATTCACTCAGTCAATGGAGTGGTGCAGAGATGTTGTTTTGTCGTAGTGGACCCTGAAGGCAGCATCTCCCTGGTTCCCCCTAAACAAATCCAATGGGATTTCTCCATTGGATTTTTGCGTTATTGCAGAAAATGTGGTAAACAATACATTTTTAACACATAGATGTTGGTCCAGTCTCTGAACACATATGAGGTATCGTAGAACTTGGCAGGAAGGTAATCTCAATTCTGATTGGCTGTCATGACACAGTGTCACATACGTGTACATTTCTATTCCGAGTAAAACAACTTTACCTGATCCTCTACAAGGCTCCATTTAATCTTTAAAGAGGCCCTGTTATGCTTTTTGGTGTTGTCCTTCCCTGCAGTGTGTTTTAGAGGTTTTAGTGCATGTGAGTGGTCTGCAGAGTCTGAAATCCCTATGTTTCCTCCATATGGAGTTTCTCTCCCCCCCCCCCCTTGTCTGAAACACGCTTCTATTGGCTAGCGCTCCAACACATTGTACATGATACAAGGTGATAGGGAGGCTGTGGCTCAGTGGATAGTGTGCTGGACTTTGAATCAGGGGATAGCAGGTTCCAGTCCCTCTGCAGTCAGCATGTCGTTGTGTCCCTGAGACACTTCACCCCAAATTGCTCCTGTGGGGATTGTCCACAGTACTGAGTATGTAAGTCGCTTTGGATAAAAGCGTCTAACAAATGACATGTAATGATAGGCAAAGGGGCGGGACATCTCCAAGCGGTCGACTAATCACAACAGAGCCGGCCAGACAGCAGGATTAAGATCATTTTAGTCTATCCATGCTTCTGGCTAAATATGACCTAATCCGTTGATCCCTTAACTTTTACAATTGGTGGAGTATTGAGAAAGTAATTCAAGGCAACGTTAATGTGCATTATGTGCTCTTTTTGACCAATGACGGGTTAAGATTGTTGTCACATGTCTGACCACATCATTGAAATGACCCTACAGAGAAACACATTCTCGTTGACTCACTCTACATTGACGGTGCAGAAAGGATCACATGTGCGAGCCATTACAGGACCAATTTCTAAAAACGGTATCCCCATTATTTACTTGGAGACAACAACATGAGAAAATAGGATCCAGGTTTAGAAATACCAAATTCCCTCTGAGTCCATTTAGAAGATGCTGAATCATATCCCATGATGTTCAATATGAGTCTTCTATATTATCTGATCTTCTATCGCTAAAATGTCTGGATTTTTGGGTTTGTTTTTGCACCTTTCTAAACCTGAACCCTCCACACAAGTATCACCTGCTTCATTCAAAAACTTGTATCCATACCTGCGAAATTATCTTATTTTTTAGGAGTAAAAAGACATGGATCGTTTTGATTTAAACCACGTAGAAAGTCCTTCCATCTGCTCCCTCTGCAGGACGATAAAATCCACCTCGCAGGAAGTTTTAAAACCCAATCAGATCCAAACTTTTAAAGTGATTGCGATCTCCTCTTAACTCTTAATCTAAGCAGATCACTGGAAACCACGAGAACTTTACTTCCTGTTTGACGGTCTCCATGTTGAAGGTGCTGCCCTGCAGACTGTCAAACATGTAATCCTGGATTAGAGCGATATCTCAGAGGGAATAACGCCTCGCAGCAGGAGACCTCATCTCCTAATTTACTGCAGATTAATTCTGAACCCACCTCAAACAGAGCGGTCAACAAATGTAATTTGGGAAGAAGGTTCTCAACACGCGAGAGAGATTTATGAGTTTGAAACTCTTGATGGCATTTTGGTTGGTGTGAGGGATGCATGATTCTTAAGTTTGAATGTTGACGTGAAGAATCTCTATAGGGAATGGGAATGTGACGTCATCAAAAGCAAGTCGTCCATCTTTGGAGGATACTAGCGACCGCCACCCATTGACTTAACCTGTAACTTTTACACTTTAAACGTTTTAAACATGGCCGGCAGGCATTGTTATGTTACGTCACTGGTCGTAACAGCCACTCCTATGACCAATGAACAAACAAAACACTGTACAGATAGTTGAGATCAAAATGAAGGTTGAGATGAAGACAGCTGATCCCCAAACAAAGGTGGCATAAGTAATCGCGTAAAGGTTGGGAAGGGCACTGCCAAGACTAGTTTTTGATATAATTTCATGCTGTTGTATTCAAAGGGGAAGTCTGATCTTACACAACAAAGTTTGTTTACACGTTTTCTTTCCTAAAAATGCTGACTTTTTCTCAAAATTCTCAAAATGCTGACTTTTTCTCAAAATGCTGACTTTTTCTCAAAATGCTGACTTTTTCTCAAATTTCTCAAAATGCTGACTTTTTCTCAAAATTATGAATTTTTCTCAAAATCTAAAAAAATTATGACTTTTTCCTCAAAATTATGACTTTTTCTCAAAATCTCAAATTCGGACTTTTTCTTAATACTTCTAAATGTTAATAATCCCTGGTCACCAGCTTGAGCTTCAATCTCAGGATCCATGTATTTGTGATCCTCTCCAGAATGGAAGTAGTCATCACATACAGAGCATCAACTAGTTCCTGAACAGTGTCCTTCACATGCTGATATCCAAGAGAGGGAGTTACACAGTCACAAGATGGAGGAATAGAAAGCAGTATTCAATGTTTACTTCAGATTAGCTCCACGTCAGAAATGAGCATGCTTGTTATATGTCTATCTCCATAGAGGCTGAATCATCATGTTAATCACATAGCTATCATATGCCTAAAACAGTCCTGATGCTCTTCTAGGTAATCATACATCCTGTCATGCACACAGCTACAGTTGGGATACCTTTGTTATCATGTTACTCTGATATTGGAAGAGGGCATTCAGTGTTTTCCCAACATGAGTCAAACCCTATTATATGTTTCTCCCCTTTGGAGGAATTTCCGTCGATAAATTCCCAACATTTTTCCCAATACAGTGACTTCTTGTAAACGCACACCTCATGGCGTCACTGTGTTTCCTCTGCGTGTCATGTGACCTCTGTGTGTCATGTGACCTCTGCTCTTTGTCTTTTGTCCCTCGTTGCTCTGTTATGATAATGAGGTGTCGTTCTCTAACGGCCCCTCAGGCCCCCGACTCCACTTCATTAACGTGACAGATGCCCGGACAGCCGCTCGGGTTAATGATGTCGCCTCCTGACATCTCGCCGCCGAGAAAATCTCATTATATACATCAGGAGAGTCAGAGGGAAAGTAGATAGTCTGCAAGGTCACGAGGAAGGAAGGTAGGAAGGGAGGAAGGAAGGAAGGGAGGGAGGGAGACGTATGCTGAGAATAAGGCATTAATATTGGATATTGTGCGGAAAGATTGCCGTTTTGTCTTTGGATTTGGGATGATTGCTCACCACAGTTTGGTTTGCTTTGTTGGTTGTGGAGCCTACGAGGTCTGAAGCGCTGGTACACCTCTCAGTCATTAAATACTCTTTAATATAAGTATTCAATCTACCATCTGGGTGTCATGAACCAAAACGTTCCTGTTTCTAGTCCAGCATCATGTCATCTCTCATTCCCGTCATTCTGTCATTTCCCTACTAATGACTCCCTAATACGCCCCAAAAAGCCATCGTTACTATGCCATTAAAACAAGGACATTTTCACTGTTTTTTTTTAGATTGCTTCCAAGAGAGGTTGTGATTTGTGTGTTTACATGTCCTTATCTAAAGAGCACCTCAAAAATGTCTCTTTGAGTCCAGAAAGCCTTATTCCTTTTAGTTTGACTACCTCTTAAATCCTTTATTCACCCCACAGGGGAATTGTGATTATTAGAGTGTAGATAAAATCACATGATAACACATTCAAATCAACATTTGTAATCCTTCATATCCTTTTATTAGATCCAGAATCTTCTCGAAGACATGTTTTGACTTCCAAAATCGAATTACCAAATGAAAATGACGAGATATCTTACATTATTGCATCTCTTTTTTATTTGGATTTCTCTTTCTCCTGCACTTGGACCCATCTTTAGTGTACACTATATATCTCCTCCGATGCAATCTAATAAAACAGCCTGTGCTCTTCCTGAAGAATACAATGTTATTTCTGCCACGGTTTTACTGGGTAAAGGTGTTTGTATGGAGCATTATGGGTTCTACCTGCATCCCAACTTGACCCAATATGGACTTGGGATAGCCGCACACAAGCTAGTTACATAGATGCACTTGTAGATGTTGATGTTAGAGTTTTAGAAGTAAGTTATAAGTAAGGAACGTACCAAAGTGAGGCGGAAGGAAGGTATATTTTCAGAGCGATAAAACAAAGGTAAAACAATTTGTTTTTAAGAGCCGGGATGAGAGGTTTATAGAGTGGTGCAGTGACGCGTCCTAAAACCCGGAAGTAAGCTGCTGGTTCCCTCGACAAAAAAGCAACAGGATTTCTCCATAGGATTTAGGAAAAGAGCTGTAAATAAGGTCTGTGGAAAACGAACCTGTTTGATGAATGCACGTTTTGTTCAGTCGGATAATCTCCACATGTCTATCCTACTTTTATAATGTTCTAATCGTAAATCTAATCTCCAGAAGCAAAATGCTAACGTGATGCTATAAAGGAACTACAGGCGAGTCCAGCAGCACGACTTCAACGTCACGCCAACTTAAGATCCATATTCAAACACACAGATTCTAAATGGTACGAGTTGAAGCGTTTGTTTGAACACTTTGCAGGAGGCAGGTACTTGCTTTCAAGCAGAACAGGTGCAAACAAACTTAGAGGAGTGTTTACGTGTTCGGCGTAATGACGTACAACGTCCTCCACAACTTCTGTAGTCCTATTCAGCCACTTGGTAACAACCATCGTTTCTCAGACACGTCAACTCTTCAGAAATCACCAGTGGGGTCACTGCTGATGGATTTAATGTCGTAGAACAAAACGTGATCCGTCTCTTCAATGTGTCTCAACCACAGACCTTATTTCCAGATATTTTCCAAAAACATGTTCAGAAATCCCATTGGCTCTGAGACGAGGGAACAGGAAGTGGTGAAATGCTGACTCACTTCCGGGTTGTAGGACGCACCACTCTATAGGAAGCAAACCAAATAAAAACTCACTTTGTTGTAAGTGACTCAGTGATCCTGTGTGGTTTCAGAGAAGCCTGTGTTGGAAAGTTTAAAGTGTGTTTCGGTGTGTTTTTAGATTTCTGACGCAGCTGCTCAATGCTTCCTCAGTGTGACTCGATGTTGGGCAGCAAATCAAAGGAAATGCATATATCACGAAAACCCATTACGGTCCAACACACGACTATATGTGTCCTCTCAGGAATAAAAAAATACATTTGTCTCAGTAAAACTTTGAACCTATTTTAAAGCTATAATCTGTGGAGTCAATTCTAAATAAGGTGTATTTAATGATCGTTGACTGCATGTTACCTGCACTTAAAGAGCACTTAACCGACGATCTGTCATTACTACTCAATATAAAATCTTTTAAATTACCATTTCTCTTTTTGTTTTTCTTGCAGCTGAAGGATATGCATACAGGAATCAACGCAAGTTCTCCGAGGACATCGACTGGTCGTACGCAGGTGAGTCACACCGGAGGGATTCATAATAATATGTAAAGTATTTCAGCTCTTACCCACACGGAGAGCTCGGTGACCAACAGACTACTTTCTCTTTCACCTCTGTGTATGAAAAGACTGGAATAACGTCCTGTGAGTCAGCGGAGGGTTTGGCGTTTGTTTGTTTAGTCTTTGTCTCTCAAACATCTGGTGACGAGTGACAGGAGGAATGTAGCTCTGTGGTGTTTACAGTAGCTTATAGGCTAAAGAGATTCATGTTTGCAGCAAAAGGAAGTGACTGAGAGAATAAAAGATTCTTTATCCAGACAAATCAAATGAGTTTACTGAGTTCTGATTATTTAATTATGATTCTTCAGTTATTTTTCTACCGTCTATATTACTTCTGCAGATCTGTACTCGGGCAGATTGTTGCAAAGGAAGCATTGTATTTAAATTTACTGACGTATTTTCAAAATGTTAAAATCTCTTCGGTGTTAACCACATACCTTATTTAAGGCTAACAGCCAAAAACACGTTCAGAACACCATTGACTTCCAGACTGTGTGTGTGTGTGTGTGTGTGTGTGTGTGTGTGTGTGTGTGTGTGTGTGTGTGTGTGTGTGTGTGTGTGTGTGTGTGTGTGTGTGTGTGTGTGTGTGTGTGTGTGTGTGTGTGTGTGTGTGTGTGTGTGTGTGTGTGTGTGTGTGTGTGTGTGTGTGTGTGTGTGTGTGTGTGTGTGTGTGTGTGTGTGTGTGTGTGTGTGTGTGTGTGTGTGTGTGTGTGTGTGTGTGTGTGTGTGTGTGTGTGTGTGTGTGTGTGTGTGTGTGTGTGTGATGTGTGTGTGTGTGTGTGTGTGTGTGTGTGTGTGTGTGTGTGTGTGTGTGTGTGTGTGTGTGTGTGTGTGTGTGTGTGTGTGTGTGTGTGTGTGTGTGTGTGTGTGTGTGTGTGTGTGTGTGTGTGTGTGTGTGTGTGTGTGTGTGTGTGTGTGTGTGTGTGTGGTGTGTGTGCTGTGTGGTGTGTGTGTGTGTGTGTGTGTGTGTGTGTGTGTGTGTGTGTGTGTGTGTGTGTGTGTGTGTGTGTGTGTGCTGTGTGGTGTGTGTGTGTGTGTGTGTGTGTGTGTGTGTGTGTGTGTGTGTGTGTGTGTGTGTGTGTGTGTGTGTGTGTGTGGGTGTGTGTGTGTGTGTGTGTGTGTGTGTGTGTGTGTGTGTGTGTGTGTGTGTGTGTGTGTGCGCGTGCGTGCGTGCGTGCTTTGAGAATGTCTTCTTTCCCCTGGTTTTAGTGTGTGTTCTCCAGTGTCTGTGTGTGTGTATATATCTGTGTGTGTCTTTCTCCATTGACATGCTAATGTTCGTCCTGACCCAGAATCCTCTCTGACCTGGTTCTGGCTCTTTGTCCTCTGGTGGAAAAAGCTCTTAACAGCCAATCAGAGCGCAGACAGAGAGTCATGTGACCTGCTCACAGACACACAGCAGCTGTGTGAACAACACGTAATTAGCACAAAAGCTGCAAACATCTGCATCGTTACGAGGAACATCTGGCTTTTTTCTGCTAAAGGAATCTAAATGAAAAAGTTCTTAAACGCTTTTTAATAATACATTAAAATTAAAAACACAAGCTTCATGACTTTAAACTGTGCGAACCTTCTTATATTTGTTATGTTTTATTTCATTTTATCGAGTATTCACCTAAGCCATGTAATAAAACTGAATAATATAATATAATCAAGGCATTTACAGCGTTACAGGTGGAAGATGATTATTGAATCTTCAAGCTCCTTCTTTGATCTATTCCAAGAATCAACGACTCTCAACGTAACCCATCATTTAAACATCCAAAACTTTATTATAACGTAATGGAAAATTGTTTTGACTAAAGCTGGGAACAGGTTTTAATAAGCAAATGATAATAATTATGATGGCGGGGGTTTTGGGTGCAGCTGAACCTTGTCGCTGCATGTTCGGGTGTGTTGGGTTGTAAATCTGAGAGCTATCTTTTAACCGTCAGACTTTGAGCGGTGGCTATTTTAGAGCTGTGTGATGGATTCCAATAAAAAAAGAGTTTGTTTGTTTCTTCGGGGGACAGCAGATGTTGAACTTTGATTTAAATGTCTTAGTTGACTTCAAATAAACTCCAAAATCGACATATATATTTTTAGACATATTTCAAAACCAATAGAAATCACTGTTTTATCAACACTCTGGTTGAGGTTTGGTTAGAGTTGAGTATTGTGTTTGTATAAATCTGCCTTTTTACCTTTTTACATATCACACCTCAAGCAGTGGATATAATGCAGTTGATTGAAGGATTACAATGAGATGATTATTGATTACCTTTTTGAGAAACAGCAGATGGTGAGATTTGATTAAAATAACTTGGTTTACTTACCTTCAATAGTGCTTAAAGGTCACCTATCATGCTATTTCTAGGCAATAGCATAGGTCTCAGATATATAAAAATATATAAAAAACATGTCTATGAAGTGTTTTGCTCAAAATCCCAAACAGATCACCCATTCTAGCCATGCCTCATATCCCTCTATTTCACTTCCTGTTTCAAAAGTGATGATTTTGGGTATAAAGCTTTAAAAAAATGTAAACACCAACCATATTACGTCCAAAACAATCGGGCATTGTTTCTGATAGCAACGTTTCTGATAGGGCCGTGGGTCCACATTTCAGATATTACGTCATATCGGATGCAAATCTGGATCAGCTCCGTTGTTCCCCCGTTTTTAGAGATTTGGGTACGGAGGAAAAGAGAGAGGGTTTTATTTTCTGACGTGAGTTCCCTGACACACCGGGGACACATATTGATGTATAAAAGACATAAAAAAGTGCATTTTGCATGATAGGTCCCCTTTAAAAACAACAACAACAACACCCCAGACCAATTTATAAAATAGTTTTCTGGTATGATATTAAACATAATAATAATATTAATAATAATAATAATAGATTTATTTTGAAAGCGCTTTTACAGGTGCTCAAAGTCGCTTTACAGAGTAAGTGAAAAGAAAAGAACAACAAATAAATATAGTTAAAGTCACATTAAAATCAAGCAATACAGCAACAATCACACATCAAAAGCCAGATTGAAGAGGTGAGTTTTTGTACGTTTTTTGAAGGTGGTGAGGTCAGTGCAGTCTCTGAAAAACAATCTCTCTGAGAGAAACATCCTCTCAGAGAAACATCCTCTCAGAGAAACATCCTCTCAGACCCACCTGCCTGAAACACCTGAACATCAGCAGAGGGTCTTTCTAAATATCATCTGCCTTTTATCCAAATACGCACAAGAAATCCTGAACTTCGACCACCAACCCACCTCCAGAACTTCTAGTACTTCACACTAACTGGATTGAAAGGAAAAATTCTGGATTTAATCGAAAAACTCTGAGCAGAAGTGATCAAACCCAGATGTAGTCCTTCTTCAATATATATGAGCAGAAACTCACATGCAATAAAAGTGAAGCTAAAAGCCTGAAGCTGTAGATCAGTTAGACGGGAATATGAGCTGCAGGATTACATCTGTTCGGTTCACTTTGAGGTGCAATAGCATACACGCATGTAATTAAAGTGAAGTATAATTTGTATTCCTGGTTTTCTTACACACTTACCGCGCTGTATTTATTCCATCCGTCATGTCAGCGTTGTGTTTGAGAGAGGAAACCTGAGTCTGAACTCTTTGTTTTGAGTTGTTGGCAGAACGCTGCAGGCTTCAGAGTCAAAGTCAGCTTTAAAACATCTTTGACTTTGACCCTAATGAGATCTGCAAGAGAACAAATCTGCACGAGTTGATATTAACATTAAAGCAGCAGAACAGCTGGAGGTGATTAGCGTGTTAGCTCAGCGTTAGCACATCTGTAAGTGGTCTTTGCGAAATATGATAAAGATTATTTATCCAACTAATGAGACAAGAATAACTCGTATGTACTATTTATGGATTTTTGTAGCCTTTTTTCCCCATCATCCTTTTTACCATTTTAAGAGGGATTTACTTCAATATCTACGAAAACTGACCGTTTAACTGTGGTGGAAAACACAATGAGGTACAGTACTTGTACTTTAATTGAGTATTTTATATATTATTCTACTCCATGCTCTTTTTAAATTGTTTGTGATTTTAGCCTTTGTACAGTAGACCATTTACATGCACTAAAACCTATATAGCAGCGGTTCCCAACCTGTGGGCCGCGGCCCCTTAGTGGTCCGCGAAAAGCATTGCATGTGGGCCACCAAATAATTTGCAAAACATTATGATTTGTTTGGAAACATTTCATTATTACGATTTATTTTTTAATTTGAACCTCTTTTCCTTTCTCTTTCTTGATCCTCCTTAGCAACGGTCATTACAGTCCTTGACAACGGTCTGTTCTACTGGATTAACAACGTGTCACATGTTCTGAATTGACCAATCAGAATCGAGTATTCAACTAAATCGTGTAATAAAAATGTCTGTTTGTTACTGATGGCCAGCTCCTTTTCTAATTAAAATAAAAAGTACTTTATTTAGCCTCCGTATTGTTTATGGTTGAATGTGGGCCGCAAACATTCTTTAGATTCTTAACCTGTTTCACACCTTGCCCCCGGTACCGGGCGGATAAACGCATCATTTGCAGGAAACAACGTCTAAGGAATCTTAATATTGAATAAAACTATGAATGTGTTATATCCATGTAACAGGAAGAAACTCAGCTAACTGATCTTTTTAATTTTTTTTTTCAAAAAAAACCCACAATGCTAGCACTCAGCCTCTGAATTAGCCTCGATCGAAAAAACGGGACCTACAAAGGCACTTAAACTCACTCATAACTCCCTTATTACTTATCCTAGATGCACAACCAAACACTCTTTTTTGGTGTCCTGGAGACACTGAATCTACCGGTGCCCACCTCAACACTCAGTGATAAACATTCGCGACGCTATCAACGAAAGCGTACATCATCACATGTGGAGCTAAGAAGCTAAACATGTAAATATGGCTTACCTTGGTCAAAAGTGGTCTTCAATGGCATTAAAACGATAAAAAAACGATGCTGCAGTTAATCCATAGGTTCATCCTATGTGTCTGTGCCTTCTTTGAAATTATTTCTGATAATCCATAAGCAATACAACTGCATTTTAGTTTCCAAACTCCAGAAGGAGACATTCCTCCAGTGTGGTTTCGTTTTCCACACACGAAGCGGCCACATTTTTTCTTTACAATGTGTGTGTATGTGAGTCTCCTCCTTCGATTCTATTGGCTCTAACGGTCACAAGGGTATGTCAACCAACCAAATCGAGCAAGGGGGGCCAGAGATGGGTCAAATCCACCCAAATGACCCCAGATGGCCCAGTTTTTGGCTAAATCTCTCTAAAAAGGTCAAATTTCACTTGTTTTGCATCAATCTTGATACAGGGTACTTATTATATGTTGTACTTTGGATTCCTAAAGCTTTTAGTCTACTAACCCATCATCCAAGGGTAGTTTTCACTATCTGTAAAAAATAATTTTTGGACGGACACTATAATTTACAGTTTTTTACTATGTAAAATCTGAATTTTCTTTAAAATAAAAAACATTTATATTGATTCTGACACTTCTACATCCAACTCACAGGTTTATCATTACTTTGAGAAAAAAGATTATTAATTTAACCCTTTTAGAAGGGAAGATATGGTCATTTGTTCTGGGAATGTCATTTTCGAGCCTGAGACCTGAAAAACAGGCTCAGAGTGGAACAGGTTAAGTGGGCTCTGAGTTGAAAAAGGTTGGGAACCGCTGCAATATACGTAGGAAAGGGGAAATCCCCAAAAGCAGAATAGGGCATCTTTTAATTCTTACTCTAATTGTTATATATATATGATATTTCAAATATTGTATTCAATGTTATCTTTCTATTGCTCATTATGTTTACAGTACATCTTGGATTCAGTTTTTTTAATGTGTATACCTCTCTACTAGTTTAGATATTCAAACTCCATGGGTCGTTTTCTTTGGTGCAATTTCCAAGGAGCTCCTGATCGTTCCAACGACAGCTTCCTCTGAACTCTTGTTTCTGTTTGCCCCCCAGGAACTTTAAATCAGAACAAGCCACAACCTGCCAACATTTTGTCAAACAATATTGTACTTTCAACTGCGCAAGGATACATTTCTTTTGTCTGCTTATTTTGCAAACTATTATAATCTTTTTTGCATCTATCCAACCTTTACCTGATGCAACATTTAGGGTCTCCTATCATGCAAAATGCACTTCTTGATGTCTTTAATACATAAATATGTGTCCCCGGTGTGGCAGGGAACTCACGCAGCATCAGAAAATAAAACCCTCTCTCTTTTCCTCCGTACCCAAATCTCTAAAAACGGGGGAACAACGGAGCTGATCCAGATTTGCGTCCGATATGACGTAATATCTGAAATGTGGGCGGGCTTTACACTCACAGCCCTATCAGAAACGTTGCTATCAGAGACAATGCGTGATGTGTTTTGGACGTAATATGGTCTTTGTTTACATTAGCATCGCTAACACTCAAAGCTAACCTGTACTGGAGAGCGTATGTGTAAAGAAGCAGGACATATAAAAAGGAATTCACCTTGTGGTAAACATGAGAGAGAGAAAAGAGTTTGAGCTCCATACTGTTTCAGAAATAATCCTTGATGTGGTTTGGAACATGATATGGCGTTTCATCACGGCAGTGTTTAGCTGACAATCTGCTGTAGAATCTCCCGCATAAGCTCCGCCCCCCTTTAAAAAAAAAAGAAGAAGCTTTATACCCAGAATCAGCACTTCTCTAACAGGGCTGAAGTAGAGGGGTTTGAGGCTAGAATGGGTGATCTGTTTGGTATTTTGAGCAAAACACCTCATAGACATATTTTTTATATATTCTTATTTATCTGAGACCCATGCTTTGCCTAAAAATAGCATGATAGGTGACCTTTTATAGCATGAATTATAATGCATCAATATAATGTGTATTCTTCGCAAATAATATAAAAAAAAACAATTGCACTGGTAGGAATGAAATCAGTGTGTGTATAGAATGTGTTCTCTCCTATAATATCTCATATGTTTTGGGTTCCCGCCATGGTGTTTGCTTTGTTAGTACCTCAACAGCTTCCTCTGAAACCTTCCGTTTGCTTTTCAGGAACTTTAAATCAGAACAACTGGGCCAAGAAGTTCCCATCCTGCAGCAACGCCAAGCAATCCCCCATCAACATCGAGGAGAGTCTAGCCCAGGTGAAGCTTCAGTTTCAGAAGCTCCGGTTCGAGGGCTGGGAGACGCTGACGGCCGAAAGGACAACCATCAAGAACGATGGGAAGACCGGTAAGAGATCTCCTGAATCCTTGTGTTGTGTTCGAAAGCTGTTACCATTCGCGGGTCCATTTTGAGCCATGATTTATCTCAGTCCAAAACAATCAAAAAGAATTACTATCATCCAATATTGTTTGAACTACATCATAACTTATTACGCATTCATAACCGTACAATCCTGTTGTAATTTAATTTGATGACGCTAAAACACATTACACCACATATTTAAGTAAACGTTATATTCCCTATGGTGAAGACAGTGGATAATTATGTTATCTGACTATGATAGACTAATATTAGAATACAATTTCCCCCAACGGGTCACGGGAGACCTGAACACAACATAAGGGTTAATCCACGTTTCATTCATATAATAACTAATGATCAAAGGGGTTGGTCGTAGTGATTAACACTGCATCGTGTAATAACTTCACTGCATATAAAAAGCCGGAACTTATATAATTTCACCGGATTTTGTTATTAATGATTATATATTGCAGTGGTTATTAGAAAATAGGGTTTCGAAAAAAAATTAAATAAAAAAAAATAAAAAATCCGAATTTAATAACACAATATTAATATTCAAATAATAAATATGTTGTGTTAAATTACATTTTTAAATGTTATGAATATTAATTATAAATATTATGGGATTATAAAACATCTTGTTTGGCCTAAGTGTTACATATTCCTTAGCTTTCCTATCAAATATCTTGTATTACATCGTGATTTCATTAATTCTGTTTATTACAACATTTGGCAGATTAATACAAAACTGCATGTGTTATTGCATAATACAAGGACTTGTATACATTAGAAAGTAATGGTTTATTACAAACTTCCAGATAATTGCATAACATATCCTTTCCTTAGCTTTTTAGTTAACACAACTTTACCGTTTTGTTTCCTCTCAACGCTATTATTGTTACGTTTTCAGATAAAAAGCTGAATAAATCCACACCCGGCTCGTATTAAAAAGTCTACAGACACATGTTTGAGACTAGCAGGTCCACACAGTGGAGCATTTAGCAGTTAAAGGGACGGATGTTTCCCTTAGGAGCTGGTGGAGACCAAACACAGAGCAAAAATAGAGAAAATTGGACTTGCTTTGAGTAGAAACAAGACTCCTAATGAGTCATATTGTTCTGATGTGAGCTGCTGGTTGCTAACATGTTAGCAACGACTACTTTTTATGGTCATAATATGTCATTTTTGTGTTTTCAGCTTACTCTGAATGCTGCTTTAACTTTGTAATGCTGTTAAAGTTGTTCGCAGTACACAAGGTCAACACCTCTTTAGCTTAAGCTGTTATATCATGTTTTTTCATATATTCCTTAATTTATTGGTATTCTAGAGTGTGTCGAGCCAGGGTGTGATTTTTTTTTTCTTGAGTTTTAACCTGAGCTTTTTAGGTTTAAAAAAGTTGCACATTGACATCATTTTTTTTTTATGATAAACAAATTAAGTAAAAGTAAAATTCCTAAAATCATTAGATTTTATTATGACATTAACCTGTTAAGCCTTAGTTAAGGCCTTAGCTAAGGCTTAACAGGCTTTTTTTCTCACGAAACTGTCTCAGGGCTTCTTAAAATGTAATAAACTATGAATGCGTCATACTCACTTAACGGGAAGACACCCAGCTACCTGACGATATGAACCATTTTTACCGAAACAAAACACAAGTCTCACAAGAAGCGTCTAAATGAGCCCTGAGCGAAAATATTCTAACGCACTTAGCACATAACTCACGGTATAAATACCCTTATTACTTATCGTAACTGCACATACAAGATATCGATTAGCAAGCTGAGATTCCACAGATTCCAGAAATATCAGTATCATCACTGAGCGATCAGAACACAGTGTCTGTCACTTTGAAAAAATTACTGATAATCCATAATTCAATTTTTATGTCAAAAACTGAGTTTTCATATTAGCTGCTAATGATAGCTACTAGAGTGTATGACAGCTTCCTGTTTTGGGTATTCTGGCTACGCGGCACCCTCACTCCTTATTTGGTAACATGTTCCACATACTTCGAGGGGAAGTATGTGGAACTTCCCCTCGATTCCATTGGCTCTAACGGTTAAAAAGAGGTGTCAATCATCAAAATCGACCGAGGGGGGCCAGAGATAGGTCAAATCCACCCAAATGACCCCAGAAGTGGGTTTTTTTTTCTAAATCTCTCTAAAAGGTCAAATGTCACTTGTTTTGCATCAATCTTGATACAGGGTACTTATTATATGTTATAGTTGGGATTCCTAAACCTTTTAGTCTACCATCCCATCATTCAAGGGTAGTTTTCACTATAAGTAATGTTTTTTTTTGGACAGACACTATAATTTACATTTTTTTTACTATGTTCAATCTGAATTTACTTTAAATTAAAAAAAAATCTATATTGATTCTGACTCTTCTACATCCAACTCACAGGTTTATCATTGCTTTGAGAAAAAAGATTATTAATTTACCCCTTTTAGAAGTGAAGTTATAGTCATTTGTTCTGGGAATGTCATTTTCGACCTGGAAAACAGGCTCAGGGCTAAACAGGTTAAAGGCATCTGCATCGTTTTCCAAAGCTGTGTTTTGTGTCAGCTTATATAAAACAGTTTCCTTATGTCCTTCCCTCCTGTCCGTCTGTATTTCTAAAGACAGTTTCTCACAGACAGACACTAAGCGATAAGCCTTTTCCTTATAACGTGGTGTCCTATTGTAAAGGATACAGTTACCAGTTCCTCATTTGACAGGCTTGAGAGCCTTTTGAATATTTCCTCGCTCTAAGTGGTGTGACACACAATAACCTGCAGTCTGCATTCAAGGTAATTGTTAAGTGAAATTGTAGACAAGAGAGGGATCTGGCCTCGCCTTTCGGGAAAAGCTCCAAACAGACGAGTTTGGTGCTTCTTAGCAACGAGACTCTCAGAAATAAGAAGTGCTCTGTTGTAGTTGCTGTTCGGACGCCAGCTGCACCAAAGGCTTTTATTAATGGAGATGTTTGGGTTACAATCAGAGCAGGGTTGAGTAGTTAAACCTGTTTTATCAGCCTATAAATGGGCCTTGGCGTAGGTTCAAGGAACAGACAGCCATCTATTACATCTTATTTAGCTGAGGCTTTATACAAATGTGCAATAGACCATGAAGATACAAGTTTAGAAAAGCAAGAAACATGCAGGTACATCAGATTTAAAGGTCCCCTATTACACTGTTTTTCATCAATATATTATAGGTCTCAGATATATACAGAGCCTGTCTCTGATTGGCTGAAACACCAAACAGATCATTGCAGCATCCCATAATCCCCTCTGTTTCTGTCCTGTTTCAAAAGTGCTGATTCTCTGTCTGTTACTTTAGATGAAAATAAGGAGCCCCTCCCCACGCCCCTCTGAGAGAGATTTGGTTACAAAGAACTCAATGGTGCTCTAGGAGGAGATTCAGGTGATAAGGGGGGGGGGGGGGGGGTACCTTGGTTGCTGATTGGCTATTGGTTACACAAGCAAAAACATCGTTATGACATCATAAAGTGGCCAAAATCTGATCAGTCATTTTCAGACAGGTTTTTATAGAAATGGATCAGGACAAAAAGAGAGAGAATCTTTGTTCCTGAAACTTTCAGAGTATCTTTACACAGAGGGGACACATGTTGATGTAGAAGAGACATGAAGAAGAGGGGACACATGTTGATGTAGAAGAGACATGAAGAAGAGGGGACACATGTTGATGTAGAAGAGACATGAAGAAGAGGGGACACATGTTCATGTAGAAGAGACATGAAGAAGAGGGGACACATGTTGATGTAGAAGAGACATGAAGAAGAGGGGACATATGTTGATGTAGAAGAGGCATGAAGAAGAGGGGACACATGTTGATGTAGAAGAGACATGAAGAAGAGGGGACACATATTGATGTAGAAGAGACACGAAGAAGAGGGGACACATGTTGATGTAGAAGAGACACGAAGAAGAGGGGACACGTGTTGATGTAGAAGAGACACGAAGAAGAGGGGACACGTGTTGATGTAGAAGAGACACGAAGAAGAGGGGACACGTGTTGATGTAGAAGAGACACGAAGAAGAGGGGACACGTGTTGATGTAGAAGAGACACGAAGAAGAGGGGACACGTGTTGATGTAGAAGAGACACGAAGAAGAGGGGACACGTGTTGATGTAGAAGAGACACGAAGAAGAGGGGACACGTGTTGATGTAGAAGAGACATGAAGAAGAGGGGACACGTGTTGATGTAGAAGAGACATGAAGAAGAGGGGACACGTGTTGATGTAGAAGAGACATGAAGAAGAGGGGACACGTGTTGATGTAGAAGAGACATGAAGAAGAGGGGACACGTGTTGATGTAGAAGAGACATGAAGAAGAGGGGACACGTGTTGATGTAGAAGAGACATGAAGAAGAGGGGACACGTGTTGATGTAGAAGAGACATGAAGAAGAGGGGACACGTGTTGATGTAGAAGAGACATGAAGAAGAGGGGACACGTGTTGATGTAGAAGAGACATGAAGAAGAGGGGACACGTGTTGATGTAGAAGAGACATGAAGAAGAGGGGACACGTGTTGATGTAGAAGAGACATGAAGAAGAGGGGACACGTGTTGATGTAGAAGAGACATGAAGAAGAGGGGACACATGTTGATGTAGAGGAGACGTGATGAAGAGGGGACACATGTTGATGTAGAAGAGACATGAAGAAGAGGGGACACGTGTTGATGTAGAAGAGACATGAAGAAGAGGGGACACGTGTTGATGTAGAAGAGACATGAAGAAGAGGGGACACGTGTTGATGTAGAAGAGACATGAAGAAGAGGGGACACGTGTTGATGTAGAAGAGACATGAAGAAGAGGGGACACATGTTGATGTAGAAGAGACATGAAGAAGAGGGGACACATGTTGATGTAGAAGAGACATGAAGAAGAGGGGACACATGTTGATGTCGAAGAGACATGAAGAAGAGGGGACACGTGTTGATGTAGAAGAGACATGAAGAAGAGGGGACACATGGTGATGTAGAAGAGACATGAAGAAGAGGGGACACATGTTGATGTAGAAGAGACATGAAGTGGACTTTGCACAATAGGTGACCTTTAAATAAGCCAAACTATTGTAGGCGAGTATGAGTATACTCTCACTCAAAAGTGGACGTGTCCAGTTCAAGAAAAAGAGGTGCCGGTCTGCAGCGTATGGATCTGTTCTTGGCTTTTGTTGCGGGGCAAACAAACTTTTCAACAGGAATGAATTAGTGACAAGTTGAATCAATATTTGCCATGCCTCGAGGGGAAATTAGAAAACATAATAGACACACACGCACAACAAAGAGGATGTGAATGAGGCCAACCGCATGCAGATCAAAGTGGTGGCAAGGATAAAGAGCAAACAGAGTCCTTAGACGTGACAACATATTTATTATCTGTGCAAAACAGATGGTCTATTTTTGAGTTGGTGGGCCGAAATGTACGTTAAAGTACAGAAGATGAAAGGACTGCGTAATGCTCCACCTTTATTACACCATCAAAGAGCGTTTGGACCCTGGAGGCGACCTTTTGTCAGGTGAAACAAAAACCCACCTGAAGAAGATCCCCTTGTTCATCTGAGTCATTGTTGGATGGTCCGATAAAGGTGTCTGTGGAGTATTGTGTCGAGGTCTCATCTTTTGATCTTCTGTCCCTTTATAGTCCATTATTGGTGGTAATCTAAATGGTTGGCTGCTAAAATATAGCATCACTTGAGGACAATATCTGCACCGTCTCAAGGTTAGTTTCACAAAAGCAATTTCTCTAATATTATCATAGGGCAAACGGACATAAAGTGTTGCAACTGACTGCAATTATCCATGAGGCAAAGTATAAATGTTGCCTTCGCACAATAAGCAGAACAATAGCAGAGACAAAACACATTCTTAATTAAATTAGCTTTTCCCACGTGTTTAAATAAGGTAATATGCAGATTTTGGCAACAAAAAAAGTACCCCTTTCAATGTGAAGGCAAGAGGAGGCATTCCTCAAAACTTCCAGCAAGTATTTTTACATGAATGAGAGTAACTGCTAATGGAAGTACTTAAATGACCAGCAACGGACACGAATAATTGTTTCTGTAATTTCATGTTGTTGCACTTATCTTTGGGATTGGACTATTTATTTAATGAGGGTAATTTGCATATAGAAAAGGTGCCAATTTTGCGTTGAATAGCAGCATATTACCTTATTCAATCACATGCAAAGAGCAGGAAGCAACATGCAAGCCGTGTAATAATAAGCTAATGTTATGAACAAATAGTAGGAATGGCTAAATGTGTCGGGAAAAGTGTTGAAATATATTCAGCTTCTGGCCGGTAAGTGGTAAACGAAAACTTAAATAAACACATTGAAAGTTGTACATGATGCAAAGAGCACAGAAGCACCAACATGTTTTTTGTATTGGGAGCGCAGAGGTGCATTTCTTGCTTTGCTTCTAGACTAACTTCTTATTGTCTAATTCCTACAGGTTTGGCCACTTTTTAAAAGCTTTGCAATCCTGTGAATGCGCCCCTTTAAGTGTCGTACACTTATCTCTTTATGTCTTCTCTGTTTTCAGTGGCGGTGGACGTGGACGGAGACTTCTACGTCAGCGGAGGAGGTCTCAGGTCAAAGTTCAAGGTGGGGCGTATCACCTTCCACTGGGGGCGCTGCAACGCGTCCTCAGAGGGCTCCGAACACAGTCTGGATGGAATCAAATACCCTCTGGAGGTGAGGGATTTTGGGTTGATTCCTTTACCTTATTTTGCATCTTCGTTTCCCTCGCTTGTGTCTTATCCTTGCGTAATAGAGCGGTGCAGGAACGAGTCCTAAAACCCGGAAGTGAGTCAGCATTTTACCACTTCCTGTTCCCTCGTCTCAGAGCCAATGGGATTTTTTAACTAGTTTTTGGAAAATATCTGGAAGTAAGGTCTGTGGTTGAGACACATTGAAGAGACGGATCACGTTTTGTTCTACGACATTAAATCCATCAGCAGTGACCCCACTGGTGATTTCTGAAGAGTTTACGTGTCTGAAAAACGATGGTTGTTACCAAGTGGCTGAATAGGACTACAGAAGTTGTGGAGGTCGTTGTACGTCATTACGCCGAACACGTAAACACTCCTCTAAGTTTGTTTGCCCTGTTCTGCTTGAAAGCAAGTACCTGCCTCCTGCAAACTGTTCAAACAAACGCTTCAACTTGTACCATTTAGAATCTGTACGTTTGAATATGGATCTTAAAGTGGACCTATCATGCTATATTTGAATAATATAGTGTAGGACCATACCTATATAAGGCATATTTATACTTTTTTTTTTCAAAATACCAAACAGATCATGCATTTTAGCCATGTCTCATTTTGCTCAATTTGATATTTTTTAGCTCTGTTTTAGCAAGGGAAGATTCTGTGAGAACAGCACCATCTACTGGCCTGGCATATGTACTACAGCGTCTCCAGCGCTTTCGAACGGCAATGGCCGTGGCTGTCTCCTCCTGATTGGTGGAGTTGGCCCAATAGCCGTAGCGCCACTGTCCTGACGTCAGGACAGTGTTCAAATCTGGATCAGTTTTTATCAGATCCGTTGCAGCCCCTTTTTTTTAGAGATTTGGGTATGGAGGAAAATAGAGAGGGTTGTGTTTTCTGACACTTGGTGAGTTCCCTGGAACACCAGGGACACATATTCATGTATAAAAGACGTACAAAAGTGCATTTTGCATGATAGGTCCCCTTTAAGTTGGCGTGACGTTGAAGCAGCGACCCTGCTGTAGTTCCTTTATAGCATCACGTTAGCATTTTGCTTCTGGCGACTAGATTTATGATAGACATGTGGAGATTATCCGGCTGAACAAAACGTGCATTTATCAAACAGGTTCGTTTTCCACAGATCTTATTTCCAGCTATTTTCAAAAATCCTTTAAAAGACATGAAAAAGTGGATTTTGCAGGTGACCTTTAACATATTTCTGTTTTTTCTCCCACAGATGCAGATTTTCTGCTACGAGGCGCATCTCTACGACTCTTTAGATGAAACCATAAAGGCTGGAGGCAGGATCACAGCGCTCGCCGTGCTGTTTGAGGTGATCCTATATCCTGATCATCCTGAGATCAGTTTACAGGCTTCTTCTCTGTCTCTCAATACTGTAAAGTGCGCCTTAAAATGCAAACCTATTTAAATCGTGACATTTGAGCTAGCAGCGGTGGAAAGTAAAGCAGCTAACATTGAGAAAACTTGAGGCATGAACTAGCATGATAGCGTTTTGCTGCTAATTCAATACATTAGCTTGATTTAACTGATAGCTAACCTAACCAGGCTAATATGATAGCTTTTTGCTGCTAATTCAATTCATTAGCTTGATTTAACTGATAGCTAACCTGAACGAGGTTGGTTGTTCTGTTAGCTTTTTGCTTTTTATTGAGTTCATAACCTAATCAAACTCTATTAGCTTAAACTAACGTATAGCTAACCTGAACCAGGCTGTTAAACACAGAGTATCTTTTAACCAGAGTATCTGCATTTCTACTTGAGGGAAGGATGCGTGTATTCACCATCTGTGTACCATTCATCTGTGTATTTTGCCATCTCTGCAGTAGTGTAAAGTAACTTAGTACATTTACTCAAGTACTGAACTTAAGTACACGTTTGAGGTACATGTACTTTAATTGAGTATTTCCATTTTCTGCTACATTGTACCTTTACTCCACTACATGTATTTAATACCTTTAGTTACTTCACAGATGTGGATGAATGATGTGAAATATAATCAAGTGTTAAATCAGACTTTAGTTCCACCTGGAGTAATTCACAAGCTACCCTGCAGTATACAAAGTCATTCAAACTAGCTGCACCTTTACCAGCTTTGAGAACACTTTCATGATCAATCATTATAAAACATATCATATATATTATTCTGAAATGGATCAATCTGCACAATGACTACTTTTACTGTCGCTACTTTCACTATATTTTGATGATAATACTTTTCTACTTTTACTTGAGGAACATTTTGAATGCAGGACTTTTACTGTAACAGAGTATTCCTACACTCTGGTACTTCTACTTTTACTCAAGTACAAGATCTGAGTACTTCTACTTTTACTCAAGTACAAGATCTGAGTACTTCTACTTTTACTCAAGTACAAGATCTGAGTACTTCTACTTTTACTCAAGTACAAGTTCTGAGTACTTCTACTTTTACTCAAGTACAAGATCTGAGTACTTCTACTTTTACTCAAGTACAAGATCTGAGTACTTCTACTTTTACTCAAGTACAAGTTCTGAGTACTTCTACTTTTACTCAAGTACAAGATCTGAGTACTTCTACTTTTACTCAAGTACAAGATCTGAGTACTTCTACTTTTACTCAAGTACAAGATCTGAGTACTTCTCCCACCTCTGCTCCTTGCTGTGTGGGTTTACAGGAGTTATCTCTGAACTTGTTGATAGATATTCTGACAGGTTTATTGACTGTCAACAAACTGAAAGGTGCTTTTCCTTTACATGGGACTGAAGTTTTAGTTGGTGCTCATTTCACAAAATATCTGCAGCTTATCTGAAAACATAAAAGTTGGCACGTTCATACACAGAAGGTCTTTGCACACATATATGGGTGATTTTTAGGTTTTTTGAGGGAATGACTCAGTGTATCAGAGGTATAACTCCTATGCTGTAGTAATACATCAGTGAGTGTTTGAACAGATCGATTCATATCTTGGCTCTCGTCTGTGTTTTCCTGTTCGGTGCCAGGGTTCGAGCGTCAGGCATTTCCTACTTTGTTTTGCCTCGTTTTGTCTCGCGTTGCCTGCGGCTGTGTTGGCATGTTCGAACTGACCGAGGCCGTGTTGGAACGAAACTCAGAGAAATGTCTGATGAGACGCTGCAGGCTGTGTGTGTGTGGTTGTGTGTGTGTGTGTGTGTGTGTGTGTGGGGCTGCAGGTTGGGTGTAGATAAGGACGGGTAAAAAACTACCAAACAAGACCTTTTGTTTTTGTGCTGGGTGTGTTTCCACCCTTGTGCCTCACCAGGGAAGTGTTTTGCTTTGTAATGTTTTTTGTTTCAATCATTTTTGGCTGTGTTATTGTGTATGATATACATTTAAGCACATTTTTTAAATATTTATCTATAATATATATTTTCTTAATCTGACACTACACAAATAATTGTCTCATTCATTGACATACACCAGACTTTTTAAAGCAGGATTTAATATACATGACAACATTTTATATATTAGGGTATTTTACATGAAAAACAAAGCAAGTTTGTGTTTAGAAACTTCAATTTTCAGGGTTAAAAATCATGAAAATAGATTAATATTTTATAGTTATGACCAGAATTCATGTTAAATAATTAAATGTATGATTTAATTGTTTTTAATTACATTTTAGTTTATTTATGATCAACACTGGTGTTGGTTTAACTATTATATATTTTACAATACATAAATATTAATATTAAATAGTATTTTTACAGCAGTTTAGAAATATTTTTGGCCCAATAAAAACCAGAGTAACTTTTTTAACTCTACAAAAACGTTATATAACCTTAAAGTCCTGATGCTTTAATCACCTGCCCTTATCTTAAGATCTTCTATAGTTGATCCTTCCTTCGTGAAATAGATAATGCATTATTATAATTACACTTTAGTTACCCTACAGTGTTTAAACCAGGGGTGTCCAACTCAAATACACAGTGGGCCAAAATTTTAAAAAATGGGTACTAGTCGAGGGCCGGACTGGTTCAACAAAACGTATTGAAATGAACTTATTGCACATATTAAACCTGGAACTAACAAAGCTTAAATTATTGCCTATAAAAACAACATTGAACATTAAATAATCAGATGCATTCATTTCTTATGGCTCTATCTGCAGCTTTTCCAGAGTCATTTCTTATGATTACATTTTTCCACAGGCCAACAGCTTCAAGAAAACTATTTCCCTCAAAGAACAAACCAAACATGTCCTGTTGTCTCAAGAAAGAAAGTGCAGAAGGAAACATCCATGTAAACTCAGTGTGCTGCTTTGTGATGCTAGTTCAAGCCAGATACTTGGCATCTCATCTTGGGTGCAAGTTCATCAATGTTTGGGCTCAGGCTCTGAGCTGAGGAGCTCCTCAGGATGGAGTGAAGGTGTGCGCCAGATCTAATAGTAATTAGAAATTATCCTGCGGGCCTGATTTGGCCCCCGGGCCTTGAGTTTGACACATGTGGTTTAAACTCTCAGTGAGGTTTTGCAGCGTCGATGTATTCCTGCTGATCTCCTGTCAGACTGGTTTCAGGTGAAAAACGCCCACTGCTGTTTTTGGACTCACTTCAAAGTCTGTCTCTGTTCCCATGAAGAACATTAATGACTTCACATGCAGAGTTTTACTGCGATCAATAAACACTTACTCAACCGCAGATCCCTACTCAGTGATTACCATAACACAGTACTTATATCAGGATCCGAATACTTTATTTATGCCAAGGGGAACTGGGTTTTGTGACACTGAATTGATTAAAACACAAATAAAATACATAAAATATAGAATACAATATTAATTCAAACATACCACATACTGTACAACAAATGCAAACAAAATATGTATATTTCAATATACGTTGATGTTTTAGTATTAATAAAGATATTAATACAGATTATTCAAAGACACAGAAAAGTCAAAAGTCAAAGTCAACTTTATTGTCAATCTCAAAATATGTTTGTACACACAGAAAGATCGAAATACTGTTTCCCACAGTCCCGAGGTATAAAAAACCTCACACATTAAAATGCAAGAAGACTCAATAATTTACAAAAAACACACAAAATAGCCGTTTTATAATATAAGAATAGGACTGTTATGACAGCTATTAAAAAATAAAACTATTTTAAGACTATAACAAATTAACAATATTTACCTATGACTAATACTATACTGCATTCAAAGTGGAGAGCTGTGTTGATTTAAAAGAGGTAGTGCGGAGAGGAAATGTGCAACATGCAGGATTTATAAGAACATAACAAGCTGTTGTTCACATGATGTGCATTAATGTAATGCATGTTATTATGGGGTGCATAACAGAGTGGGGGTCCTGGGCCTTGTTGATGAGCAGTTTGTTTATTATACACTGTGATCCGCCAATAATTCAAAGTTATATGGGTCATACAGTTGAATCAGGGGTGTCCAAACTGCGGCCCGCAGACCATTTTGAATCGGCCCTCAGCAAATTAAAAAAGTATAATGTAATACGGCCCACAAATGAAACTTCTGCTTGTCTTCTATTGTACTTCTTACATATATATGTACAAATATATTACACAGTAGTATTCATGTGTTAATAAAACCACTTTTCAAATAAATTCAGTTAATTCAAGTTGGAAACATTTTCTAACAAATCTTAGTTGATAAGAAAAAAGCCCAATAACTTATTTACCTAACAAGCTTGAAATCTACCCTTCATATTTCCCATTATTATAAGCAAACTGAAGCTTCTGTTTTAAGGGATGAGCTGCCAACAAAATAAATTGAACCCTCTGGAGAGATGTGAGCTGTTTTTTTCTTAAAGCATTTTCAAGTATCAAGCATCATTGACCTACATTTGATACATTTTGCTGTCTTATAACTGAACTTATGAGGCAATATACCTCTAGTGAGTGGCCCAGCCCTTCGTGTATTTTTCTGTATGTGGCCCTCAGTGAAAAAAGTTTGGACACCCCTGAATTAAATAATAGTTTGTCCCTATTGCACTGCAGCATTTTAAATTACAGTCTCCATTAAAAAAAAAAAAGGACACCATTTGAGATAATTCTGTTTCTTGTCTCTTCTCAGACGAGCGTTCAAGACAACGTGAACTACGCGGCCATCATAGACGGGATCAACAGCGTGAGCAGATACGGTACGTCCGTTTGCTTCTTCTTCTCTCTCTCTTCGTCTCTTCTTCTGTGGTGTTTACTTACGTTTTTTCTTGTCTGCTGTCCAGGTAAAAGTGCGGAGGTTTCGCCCTTCGCCCCGAGAGGTCTCCTGCCAAACTCCACGGATAAATACTTCATTTACAACGGCTCTCTGACCTCGCCTCCCTGCAGCGAGACGGTGGAGTGGATCGTCTTCAAGAACACGGCGGCCATCTCTGACGACCAGGTGAGAGGCTGTGTAAAGAAACATCACTTTTAGAAACCTCTCATAGGGTTACGGGAGAAAATTAGAGCCACGTGAGAGAGAATGTGACTAAAAGTCAGCAGGAGAGGACTCTTTAAAGTAGAGACACTACATACTGATATACACCTGAACATCAGCAGGAGATGACTCTTTAAAGTAGAGACACTACATACTGATATACACCTGAACATCAGCAGGAGAGGACTCTTTAAAGTAGAGACACTACATACTGATATACACCTGAACATCAGCAGGAGAGGACTCTTTAAAGTAGAGACACTACATACTGATATTCACCTGAACATCAGCAGGAGAGGACTCTTTAAAGTAGAGACACTACATACTGATATACACCTGAACATCAGCAGGAGAGGACTCTTTAAAGTACAGACACTACATACTGATATACACCTGAACATCAGCAGGAGAGGACTCTTTAAAGTAGAGACACTACATACTGATATACACTTGAACATCAGCAGGAGAGGACTCTTTAAAGTACAGACACTACATACTGATATACACCTGAACATCAGCAGGAGAGGACTCTTTAAAGTAGAGACACTACATACTGATATACACCTGAACATCAGCAGGAGAGGACTCTTTAAAGTAGAGACACTACATACTGATATACACCTGAACATCAGCAGGAGAGGACTCTTTAAAGTAGAGACACTACATACTGATATACACCTGAACATCAGCAGGAGAGGACTCTTTAAAGTAGAGACACTACATACTGATATACACCTGAACATCAGCAGACTAGGGCCCCTTTAATTGGCCACAAACCATGTTGAATCATCACTATTTTAAAGACAGAGTAGGATTGGTCAGTTTCTGTTTGTAAACACATCTTTTAAAGCTCAGCATTGTAAACACTGCACGTCAGCGGCTGGAAACCAACCCTAAACTCAGTTTCTTTTTTTGGAACGAGCTTTCTCCACTTGGCATTTTGCCTCGCTGTGTTGCGGAGGTTTTCCTGCACTGTGACCGCCATCTTTTGTCCCCTCTTTTAGTTGTGATTGACGCATGGAAACTGGCTCAACACAGCAAATTAAAAAATAAAGGAGATAATCCAGGTCTCTATATGGAGTCTAGACAAGGTTTTTGAAGGGAAACCCTGCTTATTGTGACTCTGAGGAGCAGACGTCAGCTTTGAGAGATGAAAAGAAAGCGACACAATTACTGACATGTCAGAAAACAAGCTCTTAGAGAAACGTGTTCCAGGAGCTGAAAGGAGGCATTATCATACCAGAAAACATTAGTGTGTGTGTGTGTGTGTGTGTGTGTGTGTGTGTGTGTGTGTGTGTGTGTGTGTGTGTGTGTGTGTGTGTGTGTGTGTGTGTGTGTGTGTGTGTGTGTGTGTGTGTGTGTGTGTGTGTGTGTGTGTGTGTGTGTGGTGTGGTGTGTGTGTGTGCGTGTGTGTGTGTGTGGTGTGTGTGTGTGTGTGTGTGTGTGTGTGTGTGTGTGTGTGTGTGTGTGTGTGTGTGTGGTGTGTGTGTGTGTGTGTGTGTGTGTGTGTGTGTGTGTGTGTGTGTGTGTGTGTGTGTGTGTGTGTGTGTGTGTGTGTGTGTGTGTGTGTGTGTGTGTGTGTGTGTGTGTGTGTGTGTGTGTGTGTGTGTGTGTGTGTGTGTGTGTGTGTGTCAGCCGTACAGAAGCGGTCATTACAGCAGACAAATATTCACTCACAAAAGATCTTTACGGTTTTTAAGTTGAGACACACGGACAAGCTCAGACACACACACACACACACACTCAGACATAGGCTAGACTTGCACAAACATGTGAAAGCACAAACAGAAAAGGTTTTTCAAAGAAAAGGTTGGTGATGTTACTGAAGCTCAGACGTCACTCAACACACACTCACACACACACACACACTCACACTCACACACACACACCTGACCCTTTAGCTATGCAGAGACCAGAGTTTCCGTTAGCCGGTAATTACCGGACTATGACCGGTAAAATATGCTGAAGACCGGCAAATCTAAATCTCTCCGGTCAAAATGTCCGGTCAAAAATAATTTCCCTTTAGCGCAATACCGCATCAGTTGCACCGCTTATGTGACAGACAAGAATAGTATGTGACAGACAAGAATAGTCAATTCTAATGTCTAACATTTAATGTGGAGAAAGAGTGTCCTGTATGGGTTGATTGTGCGTTGATCTGTTGGTAATGCCTCGGGGTTCCGGTGGGCATGTAAACAAATGCATAATGCTGTACTATACTTTGCGGCCTCACCCGGGTGCATAGTGACGCTTATTGTTTAGGTGTCTTTTAATAAGCAGGTAGTCATATCATTAGCTAGAACTAGCTAGATCTGATCGATATGGACATAAACGCGAGTGAAGTCTAATCTGACCGGAGCAAGAGATCAGCTGCTGCTGACGAGTCGACACGCAGCTCTGCATGATCACATGCAGCGGTGAGCGGAACAAAACACACACTTCAGGTTAGAATATCACATAGCTATTTTAATTACCTCTCAAACTACCTAAACTAGTTATAGATATGTTTAGTTTTACTGTCGGGTCACTCATTACTGGATCCGCGAGCTGCATGATACTGACGGGCTGTCAGGAGAAGGAGAGCGCTCCGTTTATTATTCCCGTGTTATAAATTACTGTACACTTTTGAATAATGTAGTTAATCTACTAGAATTAGTTTGTTTAATATCGAATCATATCAATTTGTTTAAAAGCTCAATAAATAACAAGGAAGACCTTTGACCGGCACTTTTCTCCTTTTGTCCGGAAGATTTCAACTTTAACGGACATGTTGACCGGCAAAAAAATATTCTAACGGGAACTCTGGCAGAGACCACACACCACACTTCACCACACAACGCGCTTTGTAACATAAAACTTTCTCCACATTTGTATTCATTTTAATTCTTGTGTTTACCAGAAATAGATTTTCTTTAAACAATTCAAATCGATTATAAGAAACCTTAGCCGACTGAGAGCAGAACTATAATAAGTGACATGAGAAACACATCCAGGTCCTAAATGTCATTAAGATCTGCTGTAGTGTGATGATGTAATGTCTCTTTTTCTTCACTTCAGAAGTTAGTTTATCTACATAGAGGCTTTTTGTAATTCCCCCGAGCAACAGATAATGTTCTTCTCTTTCAAAAAACCCAATTTTTTATGTATAAAATAGGATCAAGCATCCATTAAAATAACATATATCTATTTCATATTTTATTTCTTTAGTTGTGTTTTATTTTTTGATGAATTATGCATTTGTGTTCCTTCAAACATAGAAAAGAAATGTGAATAAAACACATATTTCAGGTTTTGTAGACATCGTTTATTTCCACAAAACAGACTTTACGTTGGTGTTGCTTCTACTTTTACGACATATCTTTGTTTTATTATTATATATGAGGTGATAAATAGTATTACACCCATAATTGTTCCATAATTGTTCCATAATTGATCCACCAAAGAGGACATTTCATCTGTAGAGTTGAAGTTTATGGGGATTATCTTGTAGTTTCTTGACGTTTTCTCCAGAAATGGTGACGAGCCTCGACTGGTTTGCATTCCTGCTGGAGTCGGCTGCCAGACTTTAATGTTTTAGAGTCACGACGTTAATGTTTCTCGCTCCGTTTGACTCTGAGAGCGTCGCTGGAGGGAAGTGAGTCACCGGGCAGATTACGGGACGACTCCCATTTCATTCACGTCTCAACGCCCACTCACTTCCAAACTGCAGGGGTTTGTTCTACCCGCTGTGGAGGAGGATGGAGTTTAAACATCACAATATATTTGACCTCCATCTCAAACACGAGGACGATAGCGTACGCTTGTTAGTAATAATAATAATAATAATAAAGCTTTATTTATCTTTTCATACAACACGTGCAGCTCAAAGTGCTTTACAAAATGACACATCACAAGTTAAAAGTAAACAAGAAGAAATTCACACATGACAATAAAAGCCTTGAACCTTGAGCTGAAGGTGTTTGTTTGTTTGTTGTTCAGCTGGAGATGTTCTGCGAGGTGATGACGATGCAGCAGGCGGGATACGTGATGCTGATGGATTATCTGCAGAACAACTTCAGAGAGCAGCAGCAGCAGTTCATGGGTCAGCTGTTCTCCTCCTACACTGGCACCGAGGAGCTGCTCTCTCCAGGTACAGCACGCACAAGATCTACCTCTATTTTCACCTTTTGATACCAGGTTTCAGGAACAACACCCCCTCTGGGCTGCATGTGTGACGTGTGCAGCACGTGTAGGGTCAAAAGACAATGAACACAATGCAAATGTCAAGAATAAAATACATATAGAAAATATAAAAAATTATAGAATGATAGATTTTCTATTATCATTCATATTTGTAAAATTAATTGTGAATTAAATGGCATTAAACATGAATGAAAAAGTGAGAATAATAAAGAAAATAATTGTTAGAAGTATTTACACATCACTATTTCACGTGACTTTTCACCATTTTTATTATTATTATAATTTTTTGTCAATACTTATTATTATTTCATTCTTTTTAATCTTCATTTTTCGTATTTTGTATTTTTATAATTTTTTATTTTTATTTTTTTTTTTTATTGAATTATTTATTATTATTAATAATATTATTATATATTTTTGTATTTTCTTATAATATAAATATTCTATATATTCTTTTTTAATTATAATGTAGGAGCTTTCAGTCCACCAAAACGCACCTCTCACTCTTCAGATATGCTCCATCTGTCATTGGATAGTCCATCATCAGGTGATGTGAATAAAACCCATTATTAACTGAGCTCCCTCAGCGTGACCCGCTGTGTGGAGAGTCCCAGTTAAAGCTAATTAAATACCAGTTTAAATAGATCACAGATAACTGGATCAGGAAAGAATGGAAATAAAATAAGAGCGGGATAAAAATAGCTTCCAGTGACCCAAATAAACCTCAGCTTCCACTCCGGTAATCAGGAGGTATTGATCGGGGCTGGTTCTGACGTTACAGAGCGGTTTTATAATCTGATCAATACTTCACATTTGTTTACAGCGCAGAGAGAATCCACTGGCAAACTGTCCTTATAAAAAAATAGATTTTAAAGCTGATTTGTTTTACGTTTCAAAACATTTGAACTCTTAGATCAGAATCAGAAGTCCTTTATTTGTCCTGCAACGAGGAAATGTACGGTGTTACAACAGCAGATGGTAAATGAACTGTACTTATACAGCTCTTTATCAGGTCTACTCGACCCCTCAAAGCTCTTTACATTCTGCGAGTCATCCCACATGCTCTAGGGAAGCTCACACACACACACACACACACACACACACACACACACATATACACATACACATACACATACACATACACACACACACACACACACACATACACACACACATACACACACACACACACACACACACACACACACACACACACACTCACGACCCTCACAGCCACAGTATGGTTAATAATCACAATCAAAGCCCCTCCTGTGAGGTTTAATCGGTTCTCTTCTGCCCTCTAGTGGCACAGGTGTGTATTGCCACTACAGCATATCTACATTAATTAAATATAATTTACTAAATAACTGCATGAATATTTAATTATGATATAATTCACATAAATACCAGCACATTTATCAGTACAACTTTAAAACTACAATTCAATTAATACAAAATAAATCAAATCTATCCATTTTTTTAGACATATGAAGTGTTTGCATGTTTCATATTCAGCAGGAAGCATATTCCACTTTTTGTTGGTGGTAAAGATAAAGCAGATTGTCAAAGGCAGTCCGATCTGAGTTTAGAGAAGATCGTTCTGCTCGTTTTCTCAGCGCTGAAAAGTCTCATCAATGACTCGTTTTCCCTCTGATGCCTCACAGAGGTCAGAGGTCAGTGAGAGCAGGGTCAGCTCAGGGTCAGCTCAGGGTCTCTAGATTAGGAAGTGTTGTTTGGGAGGTGGAGGATCCTCCTGTGTATAATCATCCATCCTCTCCCCTTTAATCTGAGTTAATCCAGAGTCTGTCAATTTCTCTAATCTCAACTCTGACCCAGAATCCCTGTCAGGGGGCCAGAGACCCTTTAAAACAACCATCCACCAAACTTAATAATCTTGGTTTAAAAAGGTTTACGGTGTGTGTTTATATGTTTATTATAGAGATACAAAATGACCAGCAATTTAAAAAGTCTTAGAGCATATATCAGACACAGACTAATTAACATAATAAAGAAATGTTATTTTTGTTTTGCTTTTTAAAGGTCCCATGTCATGGCCATTTCTACGGATCATAATTCCATTGTTGAGGTCTACTACAGTAGATTTATATTGTGCAATTTTCCAAACTCACATTGGTTTCTCATACAGCATCTCTGTATAGTATGTGTATTCACTCTCTGTCCTACACGGCTTGTTGGAGCTCCTGCCCCCCCCCTCCCTGTGAGCCCAGTGTGCTCTGATTGGTCGGGACGTTGTGTGGCTCGCTGCTCAGTGAGCTGGATTACTGGTGTGGTTTCCGGGTCGGCGATACAGCGGGACAGCGAGAAACTCATCCTGAGCACACACACACTCACAGCCGAAGTAAAAACAATAAGTGTGGCTTGATATTGAGTAAGAAAAAGGTTGATAAACGCTGTGAGAATGGGTCTGCGGAGAGCATCTCTCCACGATCCCAACTCGTCTATTACCAGCGTTCAGGGAGCTCTATGCAACGCTAAAGGTCCCCTCACTGCGTTTGATAGTGACGCCAAGGGATCCTGGTGTGTGAGGAGGTCTGCGGATTGGTCCATTTTGGACATGACGTCATGTGGTTCCCGGAAGAAACAAATGGAAAAAGAGAAATGTCCAACGAGGCGTTCTGGGGCAGCATAGACAGGTATTTTCTGTGTTAGAGTTTTACTCGCTACAGGGTGTAGTTTGAGGGTTTGTGACTCTGCAGACCGTTTACATGCAGAAAAACCTTCATAACACACAAGGGGACGGGGAATAACCAGAAAAGCATGACATGGGACCTTTACGAGATTTTGAAACAATCATGCTTTTAGGCAACTATAGTCCCGCAGATCTCTCAGAAATATTAAAATGTGTTATCATCAGGTCCTCTTATATTCTGAAGCATTTCGCAGTTAGCTAACAGTGTGCAAGTATTTAACCAGTTAAAACAGGCCTGTTAATATTGTCCTCTTTTCTATCCAGTTTTTTGGGTGAGACCTTTGGGTATTGACACAAAATGGTGGAAAAAGTACTCAGATCTTGTACTTGAGTAAAAGTAGAAGTACTCAGATCTTGTACTTGAGTAAAAGTAGAAGTACTCAGATCTTGTACTTGAGTAAAAGTAGAAGTACCAGAGTGTAGGAATACTCTGTTACAGTAAAAGTCCTGCATTCAAAATGTTCCTCAAGTAAAAGTAGAAAAGTATTCTCATCAAAATATAGTTAAAGTAGCGACAGTAAAAGTAGTCATTGTGCAGATTGGTCCATTTCAGAATAATATATCTGATATGTTTTATAATGATTGATCATGAAAGTGTTCTCAAAGCTGGTAAAGGTGCAGCTAGTTTGAATGACTTTGTATACTGCAGGGTAGCTTGTGGATTTACTCCAGGTGGAACTAAAGTCTGATTTAACACTTGATTATATTTCACATCATTCATCCACATCTGTGAAGTAACTAAAGGTATTAAATACATGTAGTGGAGGAAAAGTACACAATTGACTTCTGAATTGTAGTGGAGTAGAAGTACAACGTAGCATAAAATAGAAATACTCAAGCAAAGTACAAGAACCTCAGAATTGTACTTAAGTACAGTACTTGAGTAGATGTACTTAGTTCCTCGACACCTCTGTAAATAAGGAATTGAAAATTATATTTTCTCCAAAATGTTTTCAATATTTCTTCTTCTTGACGTGAGTTACGGTTTCTTTACTTTCTCTACTGACTAGAGATCATTTCCCTATTGATTTAAATTAAACTATAAATCAACGCTGATCATCGATCTCCAATGACATTTTTTAATAGTTTGCCTGGCTGACCATCTTAGTTGTGCAGTTTTCTTGATTTTTGGATGTGATTGTTGAAAACTTCAGAATCTGTATTTACCGGGCCATCATTTTCCCCGGAAGTGACGCATGTGTTACTCTCATCTATGAAAATAACTTTTTATATGTAAATAGTCATCTCAACCTGCTCTGTAAAATGGTTCTTTAAAGCGGTCGTCTTTACCTTAAAAGTACTCAAGTAAAGTACAAGTACCTTAAAATTGTATTTAATTACAGTACTTGAGTGAATGTACTTATAGTTCTTCTACACCTCTGAACATTTGGAATTTAAAATGATATTTTTACAATATTTTCCCGTCTGTTTCCTCTCCCTTCAGTGTGCAGTTCTGAGCCGGAGAACATCCAGGCGGTGCCGCACAACCTGAGCAGCCTGCTGGTGACGTGGGAACGTCCGAGGGCCGTGTACGACGCCAGCATCGAGAAATACTCCGTCAGCTATCGCCTGGACAACACTCTGAACGCAGCGCCCTTCATATACCTGACCGACGGAGACCAGGACGTGGTGAGAGGGAGTCAATATCATCAATGAGGATTGCCTCAGAGTAGTTTCTTCACTCTATCAAGCCCCAAAAAGCAGATCTAACCAAGGCTATAACTGGCGTTACAGAAAAGCTTTATAAACAGTCTCTGCTCTCCAATTATTGAGCACATAATGAGAGTAACACCTCAGAATCAGAAACAGGTTTATTACCAGGTAGGTTGACACGTACGAGGAATTTGACTTGATGTCATGGTGCATACACAAAAGTAAAACAAAAATGATTAAACATTGAACACATGACTTTTTTACTTGAACATGAATCATCTCAACCTGGTGGTATTGTCTGTAAATTGGTTCTTCAAAGTTGTCGTCTTTACCTTCTCCCTCCACCAGGGGGCGATACTGGACGACCTGCTAGCTAACACCAGCTACGTGGTGCAGGTGGTGGCGGTGTGCACCAACGGTCTGTTCGGACGTGTGAGCGACACGCTGACCGTCTCCATGCCCGTACACGACCCCGGTAAGACAGACCGTGCCCGAGACCGAGCGTAGAGTTCGGCAGATCAACTGTACAGATTATTTCTCACTGCGATTTCTTTTTCAGAAGTTAAATCTTCTAAGCAAATTATTTGGCCATTGGTAAAAATCTACAGTAGAAGAACTAAATGTTTGGAAGCCCGTTCCCAAGGAAATCTTTTTGGTTCTGACAAAAGATGAAGTGTAAAATATGACTTTTCAAAGTATAATTTATTAGATGCTAATTAAAATGTTTGTGTTTACAACTACATTATCAAAACTAATGTAATTTTGAATTGATTTACTTTGCCATCATTTTGTTTTGAGACTTATACTCTAAAAAGAATAAGTACGAACAAAAGCATTTCAATAATTAGTCAACATTTGTCTTATTTTTACATCGTTTCTGGCGTTGGCTCAATTACTATTTTACTAAAAAAAAGTAGTTGTGGGGAAATGTTTTTTAAATCTCATAATTTCAGTCTTCATACTGCATTACAATAAATTAAATTAAATTAAAAAGTCAAATAGTTTTTGTTAGTTTATTGTTTTTTAAACCAGAATTTTGATAAATTAATAATTTTGACTTACATGAGTATTTTTTATTTCACTTCTACACTTCTAAAATAAAATAAAATGTCTTTCCTGATCAAATAAATAAAGTAAAAAGGCAATTTAGAAAACTTGGGAGAACTTAAAAAAAAATCAAAGTGAAAAAATATACCTACAGTTAATGAATTGTGCGTAAACAAATCCAATAGCTAAACTTCTTCATTCGAGTTAGTATTTAATTTTTGAATTCTTTCTTGTTTTCATATATTGGTCATGTGCTTTTTCACCAGCCACATTCATTTTCTTTTAGCAACATTTCCATCCTCACACTCGCCCTCCCTCTGAACCCTGAATGACACGACTAGATATATATTGTGTTTTTCTTCCCCTTTATCTCACTCTTCACCCTCCCTGCCTTTCTCTATATTCTGTGTTTTGTGAGGATGTAATCACACAAGCAGTGCTGCTGTTTGACTCGTCTCTTTCTATGTGTTTCACAAGTTTCTCTGTGTACTCCCTTAATTATGCTTTCTTTATATATTTCCTAAGATGATAGAACATGCTTGGTTTGGGGTCATTCCCAAACTCGCCATTTTTGTTTTGTTTTCATTGTGTGGCGTCCGCTCCCTCTGCCTCTCACAGTAAGAGAAATGTTTGCATGTGTGCAGCAGCATTTTGTGTAACATGGCTTGGACTGATAATCGTAGTAACTTTGTATTTCCACTGAACTTTACATTAAATAAACTAATATGTCTTTCCCCAAAGAAAAGAAAATACCCCGCATCCTATTTCAGTGTCAGCTGGCATGAATGGGTGATATTCTGCGACATATCATAGATTTACGTGACTAATTTTCATGTAGCATGACGGCTTAGTTAACGCTAACGCTAAGCTAATGTTAGCACCCAATCTTAGCTGTTTACATAATTTTTAAGAAAGTCCTGTCTTGTAATAACCAATACAACCTTACATTATGGCAGCTAATAAAGGGTTTTCCAATTCAGAGCAGTCATAGAGATTGTCACGTTAGCTTAGTGCTACACCAGCGCAGCTAGCATAACATTAGCACTAGCTACGACTTTAGCTGTACTTGTTAGCCGATTTTACATTAGTTGATCAACAGAACATTTATTCTATGATATTATTAATTGATGAATAAATGATTCAATGGAAAAATACTTTATATTTACATGCGTTCAGCTTCAGAAATCTGCAGATTTGTGGCTAGTTATTTCATATTTAGCATTTTACATTAATGTGTTTGTTTCAAGCTACGAACGCAAGTAAAGATGATTGTTTATTGCTAAATCCATCTAATATTTAACTTATCTTTATCAATTGTCAGTTTCGAAAAGATTTTCCAATCACTAGTAAGTAAATGAGAACATGCACGTTTTGCATATATTTTTTGTGTTTTTAATGTGATTTTTGAGTCGCCCATTTCTGTTGATCAACTAATAATAAATTAACTAAAATTATGAACACTTAATAAAGTAGTTTTTCCTAATTTTATTTACCAAATATACCTCAACAAGAGCTTTCCATTGATCAATTTAAGTAGATTTTTAGCCTCAAACCCTGAGCCCCTCCCATCAAATCCACCTCATTAAACTTGTAAAACCTCACCTCATGCTTCACACACCAGTTTGATCTGGTCTCCATGATGTGTGACTTAGCCTCAGACAGGTAAGAGCCACAACCCCCTGTGTGCTGTGCGGATGATTCATTGCAAATGCTTTTTGTTCAAGGTTTATTGTGTTGTGTCTTTGGGGGAATCCATGCATGAAAGTCTGACGGATTTGTTGCATGCAAGTGTTTGTCCCCATGTCGTGTTGTGGTTATTATAAAGCCAATACATTGCTTGAAGTGGTGTGCACAACCTTTCCCTCTTTTCCATTCTCTCCCTGTGTCATTTCACCCATTCATCAACATCAACACATTCATATTCAGGTTTCAATACCGAAGTTATACAGAGTTTTAGGTTTAAAATAACAAAAACTGACACATCAAGATATACAGCGTCCCACGGATTTGCCTTCTCCTCTCCGTGGTGTTCTCATCACAATGTTTTCTAATTGCTTTTACCGTTTGTCATATGTCTCTGCTTTTCTGCATTGGTTTTTTATACGTTTTCAAACGTTTGATTTTAGCATTTACGTAAATATACTTCAGGAAAATGTTAAAAACAAAATAGGAATGAATAAAAGGTGGTATTCTATGAGTTTGACAAGAGCTACGTTAGTCCTTGTTTCGACTTGTTTCATGTCACTAATCATGCACTCTGTGCCTTTTTCCAGAAAATGCAATGGATCCGGATTCAAATGAATTTGACGAAGAGGTAAGAAAACCTTTTATTTTTCATCAAACACTGCATATCATTAATTAACTTTCAACTCGTCAAACAGAGACGCACCCTTTAGCGTCTGTAAGAGATGCTTCATTCATATCAACTAACTCCAATGTAAACCCATCTGTGTCATTATTAGAAACTCAAAGTAACAGATGTTAATAAAGCAAATACAGGATTCAAACCCTGGAGACCGCAGTTCCTATCACGCGAAACAGAGACCTTAACGAAACCTCTGTACTTAGCTAACAGCAGTTACGTTGCAAACGGTAATGGACCTCCTTTTTTGTCAAAACTGCAATCAATCAATCAATCAATCAAATTGATTCAACTTAATCAAAAAAAATCAAAACATGCCGAACTTTACTTTTTCTATGAACATGGACATTTATTTGAAAAGCCCCTTTGACAAGTCCAATGGATTTCTAGGCCCCCAAAACATAGGTTTAGCCAAAAAAATTACTAGGAAGGAATTCCTAGGAACATCTTGAATTTTCGGACATCTTGGACGCAATCTTGAAAATGTCACAGATTTTGCTAGACGTTTAGTATGTTATTAGGGACACCTAATACTACACAAAACTGTTAAGAAACCTTTTGTTGCAATTTTTTGGGGTAATGTTTTTTTTTCTTCATATATGCAGCTGCCTATAACAACAATAAATGAACATGCTGTCCGAGACGATAGATAAGCACCAAGAGCTTCAAAGTTTGAAACCAAGAGCCACGACCAAGCTGCTGTTTTTGACAAGTTGGGAGTTCAAATGTTGTTGCTGTTATTAATAACTTTCCATAACCCTTTTTTGTTCACCAACAGGGCAACTATGAACCCGATCTGTCTTGGAATGAACCTATCCAAATTGAGGATTACAATCTGGCCTGGATTCCTACAAACCCCCCAAAGACCACGACTTCTCCATCTCCTGTTTTCCCTCTCCCTGGCATCAGAACCACGACAGCAGAAACTGGTCGGAGGAGAACCACAACTGATCCCACGGTCAGATCCACTTCGCATGGTCGAGTCCTAATCAAGTCTGAAGAGAACACACGTCGCAGTACCACCACAAGTCCATTAGAGATCACATCACCCCCGAAAACCAGGGGAAGTGCTAGTGGCAATGCTCCCTTTTACTCCACAACAACCACCAAGAAAACCTTAATTGCCACCTCCACTACTCCGTTGTACCCCAATGCAAAGACGAATGGTGTTCTAGAAGGCATCAGTCCAAAAGACTCCAAAAGAGTTGTTAGTACCACTACTCCTACACCCACAAGTGCAAAGACAAAAGGTGGTAAAGGTCATTCTTCATTCAGCTCCACCACGACCACACTGAGTTCTCGTACCCGTGACATGAGCAGCACAACGTCATCGTCCTTCGTCCGGGCCAAGATCGAGCAAGACCTGGGGCGTCCCATAAATGAAGAAACCACCACCATGTCTGCTGGACCCGGAAGTCTTCCAGAGGTCAAAACATCAACTTCTCGACCATCCTCTTCGGGTGAAGCTGTTCCAAGTAGGACCACAAGTCGTGGAATGCCTCATTTTTCATCTACGACAACCTCTGTGGGGTTGGGTGGCGTTCTCTTGCAGACCACACAGCCGATGTCCACTGGTGAGCGTCCTTCTGTCCTCCCTTCCACCTCCTCCTCTTCCTCCTCCTCTTCCCCTCTATGTGACACTGCGGACCCCTCCACCTGCCTGCATGACCCTCCCTCCTCGTCCTGGCCTTTGTTGTCTGCATCGGACTCCCAGCATGCTGCCACCGCTCCGCAGTCTGGCAAAGATTTGGCTTTTCCTTCAAACCCTATGCTCCCTGCTTCCGCCCTTCCTCACCCCTCACAGCCCCTGTCTGGTTGGGTGACTGACCCTGGTGTTGGGTTAGATGATAATGATAACGATGGTGATTTGTTTTCCGGGTCTTCCTCTTTGACGCAGTCCTCAGGTGACCTTTCAGTCTTTAGCGGTACCCCTCCTTTACAAACGTTGCCGGATCCGTCTGTTGCCTCTGAACCGTCCGAATCCTCCTGGGATCCGTCTCTCTCAACACTCTCTCTGTCTCCCACCCTTCAGCCTTCAGTTTTCCTCTCTAGCGACTTCACCCTTTCCACCACAACTCCGGGGTCATCCCGCTCTTTCCCAGTTGCGTTTGACGACGCAAGGTACGCCAAGGGGAGCGCGATAGAGTCTTTTCTCCCCGAGGTTAGCGGTGATGGGTTTCCGTTAGTTAGCGGCGTGGACTTGGAGTGCGACTGTTCTCTGGAGCCTTCGGAGTCCTCGTCCTGGTTGCATGCATCTCCTCACGTCCCCCTGCCGTCCTCCGCCTGGGCGTCTGCTAGCTTAGAGCTTTACTCTAGCGTAGGTGTCCCTTCAGCCTCTGGTGTTGGTATAGACGATCTTCTACGTTCTCCGTCCGTAGCGGGATCTGATGGTGTGTCCTTACATCAGCCTCTCCTTTCCCATATCTCGCCGTCATCGTCCTCTTCACACTCCCTCCTTTTCCAGATCACCCATAGTGACCCGCCCATTTCTGTTGCAGCCCCTGGCGTCAGGGATTCCTGGTTCTCCGCATCAGACGAGAACCCTCCCCTACAAACTTCTGCCCAAACTTCCTCACCCTCAGCCTCCCCCTTCACCCCTACCCAAGAAAGACAGGCTTTAGACATTAGCAGCAGTGCCTCCGGTTCGGCCCTGTTCCCCTACTCCCAGGAGGGCTTAGATCAGGAGTGGGACAGGGTTCAAACCTCGGGATCTGGAGACAGCGCGTTGACTTATTCAAACAAAGTTACTAGCACCGCAGCTCCGCCAACAACCTCTGGGTCCGGCCAGTCCTCGGGTGATTCGGACGATCGCTCCTCAGCGTTTTATTTTGATAGCGAGAGTGGCAGTGCTGTCACCACGGAGGTAGGAGGCTCAGCGACACCGACCGTTCCTGCTGTAACCTCGACTTCACCCTGGTCGCTGGGCAGGGAGGAGGAGAGCGGCTCAGGTCAGGGTGAAAGCCTGTACGACAACGAGACGTCCTCAGACTTCAGTATCCCCGAGCGCACAGAAAGAGAGTCCGAGAAGGAGGAGCCAGTCGCAGGTAAAAAAGCCGTCGATTGGGGGAAAACACTTGCATTACACCTGCAAAATGCCAAGGGACCAGGAAGAGTTCTGGACATCCGAAAGATGATTAATCCACCATCTGTCAACAACAAAACCACCTTTCGTTTTTATTTCATTTTTCTCTGTGATAGCTAGAAAAGTCATGCATGCAAGGTCCCTCGTTACAGTCACTTGTTTTAACCCACCATCACTATCTTCATCAGTTTTTTTATGTACAAGTCATACCTCCATTTTCTTAACCACTAATTCTGCTTATGGTTGTGAAGCGGTGCAGCCTTTCCCAGCATGCATTTGGTGAGAGGTCTGGTATCCAGCTCAGGTCTATGAGAAGCAAATGCGTAAAAAAGGCGACTCTTGTAGTAATAAGAAGTAAAAGTCACCATGTCTTCAATGTTTTTAGTGATTTTATTCACAACTAACTTACAACACTGATTTATTATTTTAAATTAGATGTTATTAGTTTGGGTTACAATTTTCTCCTTTCTTTGTATTTTAATTATAGGTCTTTCTCTGTGTTTTCTAGCTTTTTTAAATTAATTTACCTATCATTTTTAGGTGTGTTTTTTGTTGTTGTTTGTTTAGCTAGTGGTTGAAAAATAGTATCACCAAAAACCATCAAGAAATTGTGACTTTTACTTTTTATCACCCTGAGAGTGATGCCTTTTCTTCTAAATCATTTTAAGATAAACTAAGATTTTTATGCAGAACACAAACTGACCATTTGCAGATAATCATTTTTACCTGATGCTTAATTTCGTTTTTTTTAATTAACACCTTCAGTACATGTCTACATTCATTAACACTACATTCACTACTATTACTAATTCCATCATTTAAAGTGTTGAGGTAGTTTAAAACATTGTATTTAAATTGAGAGGATCAAGTCTTGATACCACTTGGTTAATGTGAACATAAATTATATTTATTTTAACAAGTTGATTCAGAAAGCACTAATTCATCGAGCTTACCGCTTTGAACACCTTACTGAAGTAAAAAGGTACTATTACTTTACTCGAGTATTTTCACATAATAATACTTTATATTTGTACTCCACTACATTTATTTTACAGCTTTAGCTACTTGCAGATGTAGATTATTAATGCCAATTATCAATCAAAGCGTTCATTATCATATATTATTATAGGTTAAGCTACCCAGTATTATATAAAGTAGTACAACAAAGGGTTTGAACACTTAATGCATCAATAACTAAAATATATGCAGCTTAAATGGGACCTTCTGCATACTGAGTACTTTTACTTTTGGTACTTGAAGTATTTTTTAATGCATATATATATATTTTAATTATTATTATTTTTTACTTTTATTTTAGTACGATTCTAAATGCAGTACTTTTACTTGTAACAGAGTATTTTTACAATGTAGTATTGCTAATTTTACTTAAGTATATCATTTGAGTACTTATTCCACCTCAGCAAAAAAGCTAAATTGTCGTATTTTTATGATTTGTGTACCAATGAACATTTAAATCATTTCATAATCGCTCGTCTAATATCCTTTAAGCTCTCTGTTGTGTTAAAGTACACAGAGGGATGTCCAAAACCCTCAATTGCAATTTAAAAAGTCAATGTACATCTCAGGGACATTTAATTTAGCCAAAAAGTATCCGACACAGCCACCGGAGAGCAGCAGAGCTCTTCCAGTTTTCACAGCAACTGTCTCTGACTACACTCATTCATTCAATCAACCTTTATTTAAATGGCACCTTGCGATCAAAGAACTTCTTTACAAGCAATTGACAAACATTACAATGCAATACAGTGACGTGTGTGGCGCAGTGGATTAGTGCGTTGGTGTTCGGATCAGGGGAGCACAGGTTCAAACCCCTCTGCAGTCAGCATGTCGTTGTGTCCCTGAGACACTTCACCTCAAATTGCTCCTGTGGGGATTGCTCACAGTATTGAGTATGTTAGTCGCTTTGGATAAAAGCGTCTAACATGTAATGTAATGTAATGTAATGTTTCCTCAGGTTGGTGAAGATGCTTCTTCGTTGGCATGTGTTTTGGCACATTAGTGTTTCTATATTTGCATCGTTTCTGAATCTGCAGAGCATTAATGCTACTGGAAATGTCCCTGGCCATTGTGACACCTTTGCACCTGTCGTCCACCAAAGGATCAGAAGTCCTTTATCAGTCCCACAGCTACAGCAAAAGTGACACGGCAAAAGGCAAACAATACAGTTATCAAATAAAGAGACAAGCATACATAAATAAAAAAAAGTAAACATTAATGGTTAAAAATATTGTAAGCAGCAGCATTTTAAAGTGAACATATTAAGGAGTTGAGATTGTATATAGGCTATTGCACAACATTGTAACCATATAATAGCCAGATTGACAGAATAACAGAACTAGGAAGTTAAACATTTAGTTGGAAATCTTTGCAGTCGGAAGTTTTCGTGTCTTTAATTCTTATCAGATCTTCTTTGACTTTCTCCATCTCTTCACTCTCTTTACAAATCACCTTTCTCCTCTCCTGTCCGCACCTTTTTCTTTCCCTTCCCTCCCCATTACCACCACCACTGTGTTCATGAGTTTCTTTAAGAGGCAGACAAAATAAACTGTTGCATGGATGAGTGAATGAATGGGTTTTTTACTCTTAGCGTAGAAAGCGCACAACAGGCTCTTTATGAACTAGTCAACAGCGCTGACCCGGCCTTTCACAGCCGCTGCACTGAGTCCGATTGTGTAGAAAAGGTACGTTCTGGCAAACAGTCAAGGTTAACCCACACTAGTGTTTTCTTCACTGGTTGTCGAGCGACAAAGGCAGGATTCAGAAGCATCGGCTCAGTGAGGTCAGGTTCTGCCGACTGCTTTTCTTTTCACGTTATTCAATGTTACAATAATGCCGATGCTTGATTGACTGCAGCTCCTGAATCCTGATGAATCAGTTTCTCGCTTGGTCTGTGATGGACTTTTGATTAGGGAGCTTTTGTGATTCCTTCAAGAGATGTGTGCAGTGGGAAAGTGGGTGAGAGTGGTTGTACCTCGTGTTTCAGTCTGATTGATTCATGCTACTCTTCTTATGTTGGCGTTGTGCAAAGAGTTCAATGAGGACACGCTGCTCTGGAGAGAGAAGTACATTCATGGGCTTATTAAATATATCGTCTTATATTTACAAGTTTTTTTAATGTTTTTTTAATGGAGTAAAATCCAGTTTTTAGTACATTTTATACAAATAAATACCCATATACTCTGGCTCTGCCCGCTTCAATGAACTACATTTCTATGACCAGAGCAGCTTCTCCTCATATGCAACATGTTTATATCTCTGACTTTCTCATTCACCCTTGAGTAGTTTTAATTTTCTTCTTTCCACTTTTATTATTTTGCCGCAGAAGCCAGTAACAGCAGCCATGAGTCCAGAGTGGGTTCGATCCGGGAGCGAGAGAGGAAAGCTGTGGTTCCTCTGGCCGTCATCTCCACCCTGACCGGCCTGGGACTCATCGTGCTCATCGGGATCCTCGTCTACTGGAGGTCTGTACTGCTGTGGATGCTGTTAAATATTAAAGGTCCCCTATGATACTGTTTTTCATCAGGTCTCAGATATATACAGAGCCTGTCTCTGATTGGCTGAAACACCAAACAGATCATTGCAGCATCCCATAATCCCCTCTGTTTCAGCCCTGTTTCCAAAGTGCTGATTCTCTGTCTGTTACTTTAGATGAAAATAAGGAGCCCCTCCCCACGCCCCTCTGAGAGACATTTGGTTACAAAGAACTCAATGGTGCTCTAATACCCCTTTCACACCAAGGCTTTTCCCCTTCTAGCTCCGTGCTAGAGCTTTTCTGGTTCAGAACCGGTTCTTCGGTTTAGCGCCGGCTCTTTTCACACCGCTCTGGTGCTGCCGCTGCTGCGTCATGACGTCACAGTTTACGTCGCTGAGTTTCTCCCCAACGGAGCTCACCTCACAACAACAACGGGCCGGGGACTGCGTCGGGTCGATGATCGTGTTGCTTTTAATCATACGAAGCCAGATTAAATTAAATAACGACTTCTCCAACCTTATACTTTTCTCCAGAGTGCCGTGGTTCATTGTTTATTAATGTGTTTCAGCGGCATTTACCGACCGCTGCAGTGCTGACTGCTCTTCCACCGGAGTTTATTGTCCCGTTAGCTCCGGGTTAGCTCACACGGCTCTAAAGTATTCACTGTCTGACTGTCACACAAGCAGCTGATTCATATCCCCAGTTCCCCTTAAGTGAATGTGTGTCAGTCTGAATTGACGCTGTTTGGTGTCAGTCTGAATTGACGCTGTTTGGTGTCAGTCTGAATTGACGCTGTTTGGCATCACAACGCTGTTATGAAAGTTTCTCTGGTATAACATGGGTGATGTTAGCATAGCAACCAAAGCTAAACTGACTACTTGCTAAGCCGTTTTCTACAGGCACTTTTTACCGACGTATTTTTCATTATGATTCTACTTGTGATAGTCGGACATGACAACCTGTGCAGCCCATGTATTGATTCCATCCGATAGCTGCTATAATAACAAACAAAACGTCTGCCTGCTCTCCACAATGATCAATAACAGCGAACGGATGGTCAAAGTAAGATACAAATAAACAGAATCACACGAAGCCTGGTTAGTGTTGCCTGACTTTATAAAGCGTGTTTTTTTTTTAACAAGTGTGTGGTTGCGTTCTAGTCACTTTGCTCAGCACTACTGCTGGTTACAACTTTTATTTGCCGTACTCGCCTTAACTGTTATCTCAGGTTAATCTCGCCCCCCTCCGACGTAAGCGGTTCTTGCTTCTACACGGACAACTTTTTGGTGCTCGAAACAAACCGGATTCCGGAGCTTAGAGGCTGCTCCGCTGCGGTGTGAACAGGAAAACCCGGTGCTTTTCAAGCACCAGCACCGAACCGGCCCCGAAACACCGTTGGTGTGAATGGGGTATAGGAGGAGATTCAGGTGATAAGGGGGGGGGTTACCTTGGTTGGTGATTGGCTAATGGTTACACAAGCCAAAACATCGTTATGACATCACAAAGTGGCCAAAATCTGATCAGCTCATTTTCAGACAGGTTTTTATAGAAATGGATCAGGACAAAAAGAGAGAGAATCTTTGTTCCTGAAACTTTCTGAGTCTCTTTACACAGAGGGGACACATGTTGATGTAGAAGAGACATGAAGAAGAGGGGACACATGTTGATGTAGAAGAGACATGAAGAAGAGGGGACACATGTTGATGTAGAAGAGACATGAAGAAGAGGGGACACATGTTGATGTAGAAGAGACATGAAGAAGAGGGGACACATGTTGATGTAGAAGAGACATGAAGAAGAGGGGACACATGTTGATGTAGAAGAGACATGAAGAAGAGGGGACACATGTTGATGTAGAAGAGACATGAAGAAGAGGGGACACATGTTGATGTAGAAGAGACATGAAGAAGAGGGGACACATGTTGATGTAGAAGAGACATGAAGAAGAGGGACCACATGTTGATGTAGAAGAGACATGAAGAAGAGGGGACACATGTTGATGTAGAAGAGACATGAAGAAGAGGGGACACATGTTGATGTAGAGGAGACATGAAGAAGAGGGGACACATGTTGATGTAGAAGAGACATGAAGAAGAGGGGACACATGTTGATGAAGAAGAGACATGAAGAAGAGGGGACACATGTTGATGAAGAAGACACATGAAGAAGAGGGGACACATGTTGATTGTAGAAGAAACATGAAGAAGAGGGGGACACATGTTGATGTAGAAGAGACATGAAGAAGAGAGACACATGTTGATGTAGAAGAGACATGAAGAAGAGGGGACACATGTTGATGTAGAAGAGACATGAAGAAGAGGGGACACATGTTGATGTAGAAGAGACATGAAGAAGAGGGGACACATGTTGATGTAGAAGAGACATGAGGAAGAGGGGACACATGTTGATGTAGAAGAGACATGAAGAAGAGGGGACACATGTTGATGTAGAAGAGACATGAAGAAGAGGGGACACATGTTGATGTAGGAAAGACATGAAGAAGTGGATTTTGCATAATAGGTGACCTTTGAATGTTATTTTTGTTGTTCTGGCCACTAGAGAGCAGCAGAGGTCCACAACAGGCTGACCGAAACACAGCCCTGACATATTATTGGCTTAAAAACTGTTATGGTTGAACATGTTAGCATTTACATGTCAGACACACAGAGCAACATGATTATGCAAGGAGGATGTCTTTTTGTAGGCTGACCAGGAAGTGTGTGTGTGTGTGTGTGTGTGTGTGTGTGTGTGTGTGTGTGTGTGTGTGGTGTGTGTGTGTGTGTGTGTGTGTGGTGTGGTGTGTGTGTGTGTGTGTGTGTGTGTGTGTGTGTGGTGTGTGTGTGTGTGTGTGTGTGTGTGGTGTGTGTGTGTGTGTGTGTGTGTGTGTGTGTGTGTGTGTGTGTGTGTGTGTGTGTGTGTGTGTGTGTGTGTGTGTGTTGTGTGTGTGTGTGTGTGTGTGTGTGTGTGTGTGTGTGTGTGTGTGTGTGTGTGTGTGTGTGTGTGTGTGGTGTGTGTGTGTGTGTGTGTTTTAACGAGCAGCCCGTTCACAAACAATACCTCTTGTGTTGATGCAGACGACTGAATGCTTTTCACTTACTTTTGACAGCAGAAGAGTTTTTTCTCTGACCTTGAGAGATTCTGTTTTTCATTTTTTTTATCGAAACATTTGAAATACTGGATTTGGAGCAAGCAAAACTTTCTTTGAGAACTTATTTTTTGTATGGTTTATGAGGACATAAACCCAAAATGCTCTTCCTTATTCTGCTTGAAAACACATTTGACTTTGCAGAAAAGAAAAAAGCCTCCCACTCAGACCGTGAAATAACCAACTTTAGAATCCGATCAAGGACACGCTGTCGAACGCAGTGTAAACACTCTTAGTAATATCTTGTACATTTCTGATCTGCCGCGCTGGAGCCTCCACATATTGTTCTTGTTTTTGCGCTCTGCTTGTTGTTGTATCTCCAAGATTGAGCAGTGCTAAGCCGATAATAATCTGGGCAGCGGGGGGATTAATCCCCTCAGAACGACGTACCTTGGCTGCAGAGCGACGAGTGTCCACCGAGGGTCAGAGGATGGGAAAAGGACATCCGCCTGATTATGTCCGACAGAAGGAAATCGTGTTAGCGTCTTGTAGGGCGAGCGGCAGGAGGCCAAAGCGCTCTAATCCTGCTGCTGTTGTGTCCTTTAACCACTCCACTACACGGTGCTCATTTGGACTCTGCTGCTGCTGTGAGATCTGTGAAAATATGGACGAAATGTGGGTTATTAATCTGGCAGAGAACATGGGTTTAGGTTCCTAAAATAAAAACACTATGGTGGGGTTGTCAGGCCTGGGCGTCCGAGGTTACAGCCCAGGATTTTTTATAAATAGAGTTGTGCAGGAATGAGTCCTAAAACCCAGAAATGTGTCAGAATGTAACCCCTTTCCGCGCCCTCGTCTGAAAGTTAATTGTTTTTTGGATGTGTTTTTGTTTGTTAGCCTGAAAGTCTGTGGTTAACACAAGCTGAAGAGATTTTAACGTTCTGTTCTGCAACATAAAATATGTCAGTAAATACCCCACTGGTGAATTTAAAAACGGAGGTTGCTAAAAGTGTCTAAAAGAGGCGACTAAACATCATCACGCCCAACATTAGCCGCCATTAGCTTAGCGGTGGTGACGTGAAGTCATGTGACCGTGCTGTAGTTCCTTTACAGCCCATCATTAGCCAACTTTAGCTTAGCGGTGGTGATGTGAAGTCATGTGACCGTGCTGTAGTTCCTTTACAGCCCATCATTAGCCGCCATTAGCTTAGCGGTGGTGACGTGAAGTCATGTGACTGTGCTGTAGTTCCTTTATAGCCCAACATTAGCCTCCTTTAGCTTAGCGGTGGTGATGTGAAGTCATGTGACCGTGCTGTAGTTCCTTTACAGCCCAACATTAGCCACCTTTAGCTTAGCGGTGGTGACATGAAGTCATGTGACCGTGCTGTAGTTCCTTTACAGCCCATCATTAGCCAACTTTAGCTTAGCGGTGGTGACGTGAAGTCATGTGACCGTGCTGTAGTTCCTTTATTCAGAACAAAGAGATGAACGAGCAAGCTACAGCTACTAAAAAAAACAACTGTCCAAGAACATCTGAAAAAAAGCAAAACAACTAATTAGAATTTAAACTTTCTGGTCAATAAATGTGCATTCGATTTTTAACCAACATAATGTTTTATTCAAATACAATGGATTAAGAAATATTTAGCAGCAGCTGTTTTCCTTTTTTAGGTTGAGGTTGAGGCTGATCTTCTTACATGGATATAATCAGATTAGGTAGTTTCAGTCTCAGCAGATAAACAAGTAAATACACTAAGTTGGCCAATGAACAGCAGACTTACATGTTTAGACCAGAAATCAAAGCTAACACGTCTCAAAACATCAAACACCATCTGTCAGGAGATTAGCTGTTTATTACCATGAAGACGTTTAGTAGTCAAATCAAACATTAAACAGTGCTTTGTGTTAAAGCAAAGTGGAAGAGCAGCCTCTCTGACTGCAGCAGAATAAAGTTAGCTCATGGCTAAGCTAATGCTAACAGCTAAAAACACTGACCTCCCTGCACAGACACATCATGTCCTGGGACAGATTCAGAGAACTTTTAGCAACTTTAGATACAAAAATTCTCCTCCCTCCAGTGTGATTACATTTTTTTTATATTAGTATTTTATTTGCTTACTTACTTACTTACCTATGTATTTATTTATTTATTTATTTATTTATTTGCTTACTTATTTATTTGTTTATTTGTTACTAATTTGCTTACTTACTTTTTGATTATTATTTATTTACTTTATTTTTGCATTCATTCATTTATTTATTGAGTTACGTAGTTAGCTATTTAGCTAGCTAGTTAGTTAGTTAGTTAGTTAGTTAGTTAGTTAGTTAGTTAGAGAGTTAGTTAATTAGAGAGTTAGTTAGAGAGTTAGTTAGTTAGTTAATTGGTTAGTTAGTTAGTTAGAGAGTTAGTTAATTAGTTAGTTAGTTAGTTAGAGAGTTAGTTAATTAGTTAGTTAGTTAGTTAGAGAGTTAGTTAGTTAGTTAGAGTTAGTTTGTGAGTTTCTTAGTTAGCCAGTTAGTTAGATACTTAGTTAGTTTGTGAGTTAGTTAGTTAGTTAGTTAGAGAGTTAGAGAGTTAGTTAGAGAGTTAGTTCGTTTGTGAGTTAGTTAGAGAGTTAGAGAGTTAGTTAGTTAGTTAATTGGTTAGTTAGTTAGTTAGTTAGTTAGTTAGAGAGTTAGAGAGTTAGTTAATTAGTTAGTTAGTTAGAGTTAGTTTGTGAGTTTCTTAGTTAGCCAGTTAGTTAGATACTTAGTTAGTTTGTGAGTTAGTTAGTTAGTTAGAGAGTTAGAGAGTTAGTTAGAAAGTTAGTTAGTTTGTGAGTTAGTTAGTTAGAGAGTTAGTTAGAGAGTTAGTTAGAGAGTTAGTTAGTTAGAGAGTTAGAGAGTTAGTTAGAGAGTTAGTTAATTAGTTAGTTAGTTAATGAGTTTGTTGGTGAGTTAGTTAGTTAGTTAGAGAGTTAGTTAATGAGTTAGTTAGTTAGCGAGTTTGTTGGTTAGTTAGTTAGTTAGAGAGTTAGTTAGATAGTTAGTTGGTTAGTTAGAGAGTTAGTTAGTTAGTTAGTTAGCCAGTTAGTTAGTTAGTTAGTTAGTTAGTTAGTTAGTTCGAGAGTTAGTTAGTTAGTTTGTGAGTTACTTAGTTAGTTAGTTAGTTCAACAATTAGTTAGTTAGTTAGAGAGTTAGTTAGTTAGTTTGTTGGCGAGTTACTTTGTGAGTTAGTTAGTTAGTTGTTTATTTACCACTGACAGTGCACATTAATAAACACCTCTCTTAACGAAGAATACAGAGATGGCTTTTATATGCCTGTAAAGCAACACAGAAATATTATATATATATATTTATTTACTACAGTTGATCGATTTTACTTTGTCTCCTGACGCAGTTCAAGCTCTTTTCTTTACAGAAACAGAAACCATATTTTAGAGCGCTATGTCTAAAGTGTTTTTATTAAAATAGTTGTTGGAAATGAACATGTTTAATGAGCGAAACGTGCTAAACAGGTCTAGATGTCAAAACAAGGTCATTTATTAGTAGATGAATAAACACTCCTCAGACTCTTTGAGAGAATACTGTTTGTGTCTTTAATCTGTAAAATCTCAGCTCTTTTACTGTGTTTTTATCTCTGTTTTTTGTGGCCGATAATCCCGGCTGCCCATTTGGCCGAGACACCGCAGGTTCATCAGAGGAAATCTCATCCGTTTAAAAACGTGTCACGGATTAACTGAGCGTCTTGTTTCCTGTGTTTTTGGGAAGATTACGTGTGTTCCCCAAAATCTGGGCTAACGGAGAATCGCATGAAAACAAAAGCATCTTCTGCATCTCCGTCAGCATCAGTACGCAGCATCGAAACATATAAATACTGATCAATAGAGATACATTATTATACATTTCTTTATTCAGTGTTTTCAGTTTAGGATTCAGCCATGTTTCCTGCATTTGATTTACATGGATTCTGAAATTTCATTTTTGTTGTTTTTTTATTTACAATATGCTGATGATGTTTCGATGTATTTATGTATAACACTAAACCATGTTGTCCTACATTGTGTTGATCCTGAAATATTTGATTATTTACAATTATTTGTTTATTTCTCTTTACGTTTCCCGACTTCTTTATGTTTATAAAACATGTGACTGCTTTGTTTAATCACAGAACAGACCAAAATGATTTTCAAAATAAAACACACTCTGTTGTTGATGTCTGATGTCTGATGTGTGTGTTTTTGTGTGTGTGTGCAGGACCTGTTTTCAGACGGCTCACTTCTACATCGAAGACAGTTCATCACCCAGAGTCATCACCACAGCTGTATTAGCATCTGGTAACACACACACACACACATTCACACACATTCACACACATACACACACACACACACACACATTCACACACATACACACACATACACACACACACACACACACACACATGCACACACATTTGTTGACTTGTCAGATCAAGTTGGATTCTTTCTTTTTTTAGCAAGTAGTTGTTCCCCACAACAAATGTTTCTTCCGCCGAAACAAGTAGTTGTTCCCTACAGCAAGTATTTGTTCCCCATAGCAAGTATTTGTTCCCTACAGCAAGTATTTGTTCCCTACAGCAAGTATTTGTTCCCTACAGCAAGTATTTGTTCCCTACAACAAGTGTTTGTTCCCTACAGCAAGTGTTTGTTCCCTACAGCAAGTATGTGTTCCCTACAGCAAGTGGTTGTTCCCTACAGCAAGTCTTTGTTCCCTACAGCAAGTATGTGTTCCATACAGCAAGTGTGTGTTCCCTACAGCAAGTGTGTGTTCCCTACAGCAAGTGTGTGTTCCCTACAGCAAGTGTTTGTTCCCTACAGCAAGTGTGTGTTCCCTACAGCAAGTATGTGTTCCCTACATCAAGTGTGTGTTCCCTACAGCAAGTGTTTGTTCCCTACAGCAAGTGGTTGTTCCCTACAGCAAGTGTTTGTTCCCTACAGCAAGTGTGTGTTCCCTACAGCAAGTGTGTGTTCCCTACAGCAAGTGTGTGTTCCCTACAGCAAGTGTTTGTTCCCTACAGCAAGTATTTGTTCCCTACAGCAAGTGGTTGTTCCCTACAGCAAGTGTTTGTTCCCTACAGCAAGTGTTTGTTCCCTACAGCAAGTATTTGTTCCCCACAACAAGTATTTGTTCCCCACAGCAAGTAGTTGTTCCCCACAACAAGTATTTGTTCCCCACAACAACAATTTGTCCCCCAAATATTTGTTCCCCACAACAACAATTTGTTCCCCAAGTATTTGTTCCCCACAACAAGTATTTGTTCCCCACAACAAGTATTTGTACCCCACAACAAGTATTTGTACCCCACAACAACAATTTGTTCCCTACAGAAAGTATTTGTTCCCCACAACAACAATTTGTTCCCCAAATATTTGTTCCCCACAACAACAATTTGTTCCCCAAGTATTTGTTCCCCACAGCAAGTATTTGTTCCCCACAACAAGTATTTGTTCCCCACAACAAGTATTTGTACCCCACAACAACAATTTGTTCCCTACAGAAAGTATTTGTTCCCCACATATTTGTTCCCCACAGCAGGTATTTGTTCCCCAAGTATTTGTTCCCTACAGAAAGTATTTGTTCCCTTGTTCTCTCTCTTGGTTGGTTCAGTGTTTCCTGTTTTTTGTTTTTCTTCCAGACGAGCAGACATCTTTCCCGGTGAAAGACTTCGTGAAACACGTGTCCCAACTTCACGACTCACTCGGCTTCCAGAGAGAGTTCGAGGTACGATTGCTTTTCATTCTCTAGCTGAAACTAAAACAATAAAGTGTCAAAGAGTGTCCCCACTGTCTCACACTTGATGTTGGTGTGTGTTAGTGTTCAATGGGAGTTGTGTGTGATTGTGTGCATGCTGCATGATGATGTGTTACTGGTACACTTTGACGAAGGACTGCAACATTACCTGATTATTGTTTCTTGATGATTCTATTTAACTCAATGAAAAATCCACTTTTGGTCATATTAAAAAAAAGAAAATCACAGTTGGCCCTCGTCCTCTTCCGTAGCTCTGACCAACAGTTCATTATTTGTTTCGACAACCGAGATTAAAGTGGAAGAAGGTTTGTTTTTTGTCTCAAAATCTCCAAATGTTTTGATTAAAGTTGGAATCCTGACTTTTTCTTTTCAGTTATTTTACTGAAAATCTAGATATTATGATAAAAAAACATTTGTTTCTGTGTGTTTCTGAGAAAAAAGTCAGTATTCAGAGATTTTCTTTTAATTCTGATTTCTCGACATTGAGACTTATTTCTCAACAGAATGTCTTGCTCTTATCCTTTTCCCTTTTACCTTAACGTAGTCTTTTTGGGACATTTATAGCGTTGGTTTATCGAAAACAATTATTTTGGGGCTGTAAGCAATTTAATGATTGCAGTTCCACAGAATACCATCTCTTCAAACCTTTAATATATACATGGAAATATCAAAATCTCATTTTGATTTAAATATGACTATAAATGGAAGACTATGGTATTGGCACTGACGATTTATCATCAATAATAACGCAGTGTTTTCTGTACGGAAGCTATGAGAGGCAAGTTAGACAAATCAATTCTAGTGACACATTTTCTAAATCTGATCTAAATAGTCTTTCCTCCTGTATTCCTGACTTAAGAACAGTTCAAAAAATTAATTATGACAGGTAAGAAAAAAGGCTTTGCCAGGTATTTATTTTGGTTTTGCTGTGATTGTTAGTTTTTTTTGGTCAGGATTTTTTTTCACCCAGGTAATAACATTTGTAATTTCAATCTGATTTTTTTTTTAAAACAGGTAAATATAAAAATGTGACTTCCTGAGTGTCTTTTTTCCAACTGTAAATCAGGGGGAAAATTCTGCCTTTTTTTTCCTTGTAAGAATATTTCTTTAAATGTTCGAAGTTGTAATGCTCGTCTAATGTACAAACGGGTATATCAACAACAAAAATCACCTGGCAGAGCACTATTTTAATATTATCATTGCACATTTATTGATTGATTTTCACCAGTTTTTTGATGAAATTAGCTCAGACTTAGAAAATTGACCCCCAAAAACTAAGAAAAGGGTCACATTTGCCTCTCAGGGCTTCCGTAGTTCTCAGTTAAAACAAATAATATTGAAAATTGGAGAATAAATGCTGCAGTCCTGCTTCATGTCTTTGTGAGTTTTGTGTTTCAGGCCAAATGATGAGGTGATTCATCGATAATAATCGTCAGTAGAAGTAAAAAATAGTTGCAGCAAGAACTGAAATACACAGTGTTTTAGCCCCTGAATGTACGTTGTATTTATCCGCGCTGATGCTCCCTGTGTTTAGCAGCATGTTCTGTGCTGTGAGATGAGTTTGTGGTTTTCTGTGTCGTCTTGTAATTTGTATTTCTGCACCTCTTTGGTTTGTGTTGTCGTGGAATCGTCTGGCCTCCTCGTCTTTAGGTTCTGAAGGAGAGTTACGAGGTAAGACTCGCTCTCACCGCTCTGTTTCCGTCTCGTTGTGCAAAGGGTTGTTAATGTGGGAATCTGGAGGTGCTAATGCACGGTTTCTGATTGACACAAGTGGAAACAAATGACTGTAGGTATCATAAGAA